TTTTGCAAGACCAATGACGTCTTCATTGCAAAACCCTTTTTCAAACAACATAAAAGACAACTATACACATGGACCTCGCCAGATGGAACACACAGAAATCAAATAGACTACATCTGTGGAAAGAGATGGTGGAAAAGCTCCATATCATCAGCCAAAACAAGGCCAGGGCCAGACTTTGGAGCTGACCATCCACTGTTCATATGCAAGTTCATGCTGAAGCTGAAGAAAATGAAAACAAGTCCACGAGAGCCAAAATAGGACCGTAACCACATCCCATTTGAATTTAGAGATCTTATTTAATACATTAGTCACTAAAGACTGGAGACCAGAGAGTTGTGGCATGACATCATGAACATCATACAGGAAGAAAGCAAAAGATCATTAAGAATACAAGACAGAAGGAAAGACCAAATTGGATGTCAGAAGAGACTGTGAAATTTGCCCTCCAGAGTAGAGATTCTAACGCAAATGATAGAAATGAGGAGTACAAGAGCTAAATAGAAAATTTCAAAGAGCTTCTCATCAGGACAAAGTCAAATATAACAAAATGTGCAAAGACCTGGAATTGGAAAACCTAAAGGGAAGTATACACTCTGCATTTCTAAGGTGAGGAAATGGAAGAAAAAACTCAAGCCTTGACTTGCGGTATTGAAGGGCTCTGTGGGGGGAAACATTGAATGATGTGGAAAGCATCAAAAGAAGATGGAAGGAATACACAAAGTCACTGTACCAAAAATAAATAGTCGATGTTCAACCATTTTAAGAAGTAGCGCATGATCAAGAGCCAGTGATCCTGAAGGAAGAAGTCCAAGGCACGTTGGAGTCATTGGCAAAGAACAAGACTCCGGGAATTGATGGACTACAAATTGAAATCTTTCAATTAACTGATGCAGCACTGTATGCACTCACTTATCCATGCCAAGAAATTTGGAAGACACCTGGGCAACTGATTGGAAGAAATTTCTATTTGTGCCAATTCCAAAGAGAGGTGACTCAATGAAAATGAAATTCATTGGAAAATACCATTAATTATTTCATACAAGTAAAATTTTGCAATAATTCATAAACGACTGCAAACGTACATTGACAGTGAACTTTCAGAGGTTCAAGCAGGATTCAGAAGAGGAAGTGGAATGAGGGATATCATTGCTGATGTCAGGTAGTTCTTGGCTGAAAGCAGAGTACACCAGAAAGGTGTTTACTTATGCTTTATTGAATATGCAAAAACTTTCAATTGTATGGATTTGGACAACATTGTGGAGGATGAGTATTCTGGAACACTTAATTGTGCTCATGAGGAACCTGTAGTAGACCAAGGGGCAGTTGTTCGAACAGAACAAGGGAGCACTGAATGGTTTAAGGTGAGCAAAGATGTGTGCTAGAGTTATATTTTTTCACCATACTTATTCAATCTGTATGCTGAACACATAATCCGAGAAGCTGAATTATATGAAGAAAAAAGTGGCATCAGGATTGGAGGAAGACTCATGAACCACATGTGATACACAGACGATACAACCTTGCTTGCTGAAAGTGAAGAAGTCTTCAAATGCTTACTGATGAAGATCAGACATCATAGCCATTTTATGGGTTGCACCTCAATTTAAAGAAACCCAAAATCCTCACCACTGGACCAATAAATAGCATCAAGATAAATGGAGAAAAGATTGGCGTTGTCAAAAACTTCATTTTGCTTGTATCAATCATCAACTCTCATGGAAGCAGCAGTAAAGAAATCAAATTTGCACAAGGCAAATCTGCTGTACAAGACCTTTTTAAAGTGTTCAAGAGGAATTGTGTCGATTTGGGGACTAAGGTGTGCCTGACCCATGCCATGGTATTTTCAGTAACCTCATATGCATGTGAAAGTTGGGCAGTGAATAAGGAAGACTGTAAAAGAATTGGTGCATTTGAGTTATGGTATTGGAGGAGAATATTAAAAGTTCCATGGACCGCCAAAAGAACAAGCAAATCTGTGTTGTAAGAAGTATAGCCAGAGTGCCCCTTTGAAGCCTCGATGGCCAGACTTCATCTCTCATACTTTGGACATTTTATCAGGAGGGAGCAGTCCCTGGAGACGGATATCATGTTTGGTAAAGTGGAGAGTCAGAGAAAAAGAGGAAGGCCGCCCAACTGGATGGGTTGGCACAATGGCATCAGCAATGGGCTCATACGTAGAAATTATTATGAGGTTGGGGCAGAACCGGGCAATGTTTTGTACTGTTGTGTGTAGATTCACTATGATTTGGTACCAACTCAATGGCACCTAACAACAGTAACTACCACAAAAATCTATTTGATGTTAGCTTCCCCATTCAAGTAGAGAATGATTAAAATTTCACCTGTCACATTGCAATATGCGTATTTTCTCCATTTTAAATACTATTGCTTATGGGTTTCACGAAATTGAAATTTTTACTTTGTCACTTAAAAGTATAATTGAGAAATATGAAATTTGCAGGGTTCATTAAGAAAGTTAATGTGGCTTTTCAGTCCAGATATTTTGTCTGGAGATTGATTTTGACCTTTCCATAAACAATGTGCTAATGATATTTTGATCAACAATTGTGTATAAAATTTCTAAAAAAAATCACTTACAGCTAACAGTAATTTCGTGGTGGCCATTGTGATGCCCTTGGGTGAGAGGGTGAAGACTGATTTTCTTGTCATTGTCTTGATCCTTATGCGTAGCTTGAAATGACTGTTAATTACACTAGGGATGTACCTACAGGCTTGGGTGCAGAGTTCATTATTTACAGAATCTCAAATTATAGTTAAGTGTGACGTTCACTGCCTCTTCCATACAACTATCATTTGGCTTTATTCCTAAAAAAGAAACAAATAGAAATTTTTGATAAAGAGACTTTAAGATTTTTTTTATTTCCTAATGTGGAAAATATTAGTATTCTGTACTCAAATAAAACTGTGTTATGTTTTGGAAATTAAATACCTGAGGATGGCTCAGGACTGGGCAGTGTTTTGTTCTGTTTCTCATTGGATCGCTATGAGTAGGAACTTACTTGAAAGCATGTAGCAACAAGAAATTATATAAACGTACCAAATGGTTTATTATAGAAGATTTGTTGTAAGGTGCAGTTGAGTTGGTTCTGATTCATAGTGACCCTGTGCACAACAGAACGAAGTACTGCCTGGTTCTCCTCCATCCTCACAATCATTGTGTGTTTGAGCCCATTGTAGTAACCACTGTGTCAATCCATCTCATTGGGTCTTTACTCAGTTTTGATGACTTTACCTTTGACTTTACTTTACCAAGGATGATGTCCTTTTTATAATGTGTCCAAAGTCCATGAAGCAAAGTCTCACCATCCTGGTTTCTAAAGAGTATTCTAACTGTACTTCTTCCAAGACAGATTCGTTTATTCTTCTGGCAGCCCATGGTACTTTCAACATTTGTCAACACCATAACTCAAATGCATTAATTCTTTCCCAGTCTTTCTTATTCACTGTCCAGCTTTCACATGCATATGGGATGGTTGAAAATGTCATGACCTGTGGCAAGAGTACCTTAATTCTAGTGACAACTTTCCTCCCTAACACTTCAAACTGGTTTTGTGCAACAGATTTACCCCTATAATGCCTCTTGGCTGCTGCTTCCATGAGCATTGATTGGGGATGCAAGTAAAATGAAGTTGTTATTTTCATGATGTTATTTATTGATCCAATTGTGAGGATTTTTGTTTTTGTTACATTCAGGTACAATCCAGACAAAAAATTATGAGAAGTTAAAACTCTGAACTTTTTGCTGACCTTATTATTCATTTTAGGTTACTTATTTTAGTACAGTGGCTTTAACTTGCAAGACTAATTTTGTTTTGTGGGTTTTGTTTAGTACTTAAGGATTGTTTTCAAAGTAAGACTTTCAGCAAAATTGAAAGCCAGTTTAAAGAGTACATTTTGTTGTACACATGGTGCATATTATCTGCTGTAATAAAAGTTTTTTTGAAGCTGATTTTATGTGTTTAAGTTCTATGAGGAATGCATGCTGTAAACATGAAATTATAGTAATAATTTCTGTATGGCTCATGGATTCTGAAGCTGTTCATATTCATCTCATTAGTGTGAATAGTGCCTAGCAGTTTTGTTACCAGTAGTCAGCAGCATCTGCTGGTAGGCACTCAAAGATGGAATTTCCTTATTGTTTAGATAGTTGGTTGGGTATAAAGGAATGGGTGTAGCCATGAGATAGATTCTAACACAGTTGTGTTTGCAAGAAGAGAGAGAGCGAGCAGTTTAGACATGGGGAATATAAATGAAAACCTGTACCCTGTTGGGAATGAACTATATATACATGGTAGCTCAAATGGGTGCAACTCCTTTGATGATAGTTTGTCTTTAACTACCAAAATATGAAAGATACATATCATCATATCATCCTGTGACTCAACAAGTCTATGCTTGCCATCATACATTCCCATCAATATTGTAAGATTTGGAATGGGAATTCCCATAGCTCAGTGAAAATACCAAAGGTTGCTCAATGCTCTCCCAATAACCATTTCTCGATTCTTGTTTATTAAAAGAATACCAAGCCAACTATCCACTCTTAAACTACTTCCCCTCATCATCCCACAATGTATTGTTAATATGAGCAGCACAGTGCTTATCTACTGACATGTAATTTCCCAATCTCTTTTGCCGCTTACAGTGGGCCAGCAAGATGTGGGTGGAAGTTGTTCAAGGAGCGGCTTTCAGAAAGCTCCTTAAGTAGGTTGAGTCAACTACAGATGTGAGGACAGGAGCTCCCGAAGCCATCCTGACTAATAGATGACCCTATGAAAGAAGGAATCAAAGTTTCTGGTGATTATGTTGTTGTTGTTGCTGTTGTTATGTGCCATGGAGTCGGTTCCAGCTCATATTGCCCCTTTGTAGGGTTTCCAAGAAATGGCTAGTGGATTTGAACCGCCAATTTTGCAGTTCAAAACGACATTGCTATCGAGTGCTTATCCTATAACAACACACCTTGACTGTGGAGCTGCCCAATTACCCTAGACTGCCAACCTTTGGATTTCATTTATAATTTTACAATAAGAATTTAGCTTCTACCTTGTTTTAGCCATATTTGAATATTGTTATAAGCGTCCAAAATAATTCTAAATTATGTATCTTCAAAGAAGGTAACCACATAAAAATGTTTCTAATATTCAAAGGTTAGAGACAACTTAGCTGCCCCAGATATCATTCCCAACAGGGTACAGGTTTTCAGCAGAGGGTATTATCCCCACACTGCAGATCAACCGTTGGGTCATACATACCTCAGTGAATATTTTTGAAGACAGATTTTCTATTACAACATTATTAGAGAGTATCAAACTTCTAATTCTGTACTGTATTAGGTTTTTCAACTTGTGAGTATGACTATGTTATATTAAAAAAAAAAATTTAAATATGTTATCTATAAACCTTTGGGGAAAAAAAGATATATATTGTAGCTTTTACTTTATGTTCATTTAAATATCTTTTCTTTTCCTTTTTCTTTTTTTTTTAAACTACAGGTGTTTGGCCCATGACTGAGAGAGAAGATGACTTGACAGTTTCTGCCATGGTTTCGCCTAATTTTGATTCGGTGTCTGTAGGTGTATTTGCAGATATTAAAGGGGTTTCTGATAGTGGTGGGCTCTGATGAACTGGCATTATGGCATCAATTTAAATTCTGAACCTCCCAGTAAAAACTTGTGGGCAGATAAATTTTTTTAGGTTTTGTTGCTTTCTAGATTAAAAACATTTCTAGATCTCTGAGGAAATCTTTGGGGAGAAAATTATTATGAGTGGGCCAGAAAAAGGGGAGGAGGAACAGGGGCAGAAGAGATTCTTTTCTTCTTCTGATTCTATTTTGTGTTAATTTCTTTTTAATTAAAAAAACACACAAAACTTTCTTAATTCTAGAGTATTGAATTAATCCTAATTGAGATGAGTAATTCTAACCCCATGAGGCTTTAAAATTTTTTATTCTTTTTAAGATTCATTGACATCATGTTTGTGAATAACTTAACTTAGGGACTGATAACTTAAAGTCCTTAATATACTGTAGGGAGTCCTGATGTGACTTTGTAGGATAAACACTGTATTGCTAACTGCAAGGTTGGTGGCTCAAACCTACTGGCCACTCCTTGGAAACCCTGTATAGAGTCTCTATGAGTCGGAACTGACTTGACAGCATTTAACAACAACAATACATTGTGGGATGATGAGGGGAAGTAGTTTAAGAGTGGATAGTTGGCTTGGGAACTGTGTTTCCTCCATTTATGTGGCCTCGTACAACTTAAATTTCATAGTCTCAATGTTACCTTCTGTAAAGCGGGGATAACAACAGAATCTACTTGGTTATTTATAATTATTCATCATTATCGTCATTACAAATTATATTTTACTTCGTCCAACATCGTCATCCTCGTTATCATCAGTACCTACCTATCACTACTTGTCTTGTTCACTGTCATATCTTCGTTGTTGTTAAGTGCTGTTGAGTTGGTTCCCACTCATAGCGACCCCATGTAGGGTTTCCAAGTGGTTTTCCTACAGTACCACAGCAGGCCATATCCATAGTGTCTGTCACATAGTGGACATTCAAAGAAAATTATTCCATGAATGAATAAATAAACTGGGAGAGAAGAGAGATGAAAGGGGGCCTGTTCTTGGTTACATTACTCCATTTCCTTGTTTATTTTTCTTTGGCTACTTTTTTGACTATGTTTGGTTATATCTCATTATTTATAATTTGGGAAAAATCTATTGTTTATCTGTGTCTCTACAAGAAGTTGATCAATTTAGGCAAGGCATTGAATTCACTGGTTTTTGATGTATTTGGAGTTCTTATCACATAATTCTACCTGGGAAATGACCTCAATATTTGAGTATCAGAACATAATATAATAAGTGATTGTCGTGAGTTTTTTAAAGATTTAACGTTAGTATAAACAGCCAACCTGAGTTGTGATAAAAATCACGTTACCAGTGCCATAGCGTAGTAAATTGGATACACTTAAAAAAAAAAAGGACTATATATGAAAGGAACATTCACCCAGCTAAGTCGCATAGTAGAAGCACTGTTTTAACACTGGCCATTCAGCATACACCATTTCTCACTCTACCTGAAGGGTGTAGTCTGAGTGGAACATTTCTGCTTAGTTAGCTGACAAATGTACATACATTTTCTTGCCTTGGAAATGATTATTTTTTTCCTTTGGGCAATTTATATAATTTTTAAAAGGTTCTCTTAATCATAGGCTATTTGGAATGAGGAATTCACTTTCCGTTTTTTGAGAAATGTTGGGTCTTTGTAGGCAAGGATTTCATGTAGTAGCATTATATTTTAATGTATGTTTCCCTACTGGTAACACGGAGTGCTCTTTCCTCTCAACTGGGTGTCTATTTCTAGCTTCCTTTTCCTTGTCTTACTATTTTTCTTAAGAGATTTCTTGAGAGTATCATATTCATCCCATTGGAAAACATTCATCCTGTGATTCATGTGTCTAAGGTGCTGTGGTATCTTCTTAGGGTCATTTCTCTCTAGCTATTTTATGTTCTTTAAGAGCTGCTGTTCTGGAAGTATCTAGGTGTTTAGAAATGAGCTGAGGACAGGAAACAGGAGATGCTGGTTTCTCTTGTATATCTGTGGACATATAAGTGTAAAATATTTCCTGGATTTTAGGTAATACTAAAAAGGCTTGGTTTAATAATTTATTTTGAATCACTATTATGAAAGTGCATATCTCAAAAAAACCTGACAGGCAGATTTATATCAGAATGGAACTTTTTATAGAGGAGACAAGCATTGCTTTTCTATCTCTCTTAGTGAGACACTGGATTAGGATTCAAAACTATTTCCTACGGAGCCATAAATAAAATAATGAATCTCCCATTTCTTAATTCTGGTGCTGTCCAGTAACATCATAGTGACCCTTATTGCTTAGAAGTGACTTAGTTACAAAGAATCTAAATGGATTAAAGCACAATGGCTCGGATTCATTAGTCTGATGTAGACTTTATGGAAATTCCTATGGGTAGTATTAAAAAATGTTACACCTTGGTCTTAGTCTGTTCTAGAGGGACCATTCCTTTCCCTCAATCTTTCCAAGCTGATTTTCAAAGGCTGCTTATTGAATCAGTTCATGATATGCACTAGTAAAAAAAAGTATGTTCTTGTTGTTGTTAAGTGCCATCGAGTCGATTCCAACCCATAGAAACTCTGTATAGGGTTTCCGATTACAGCTGATGAGCTTGAACCACCGACCTTGCAGTTCAAATGACTTTGCCATCTGACACATTAGCCCACAGCGCCACACCAGGACTCAAAAAAAAAGTAAACTCCCATTTGAATTGTTTTTCTAGGTGTTGTTGTTAAGTGCTGTTCAGTCAGTTCCGACTCATAGCAACCCTGGATAGTAGGGTCCCTGAGGCTTTAAATCTTTGTGGGAGTGCAAAGTCTCAAGGCCACTCAAGCTCTGTATCATTATTGCATGTCATTAATCAGAATAAAACATACCTTTATTAGAAAGTTGAAAATTTAAGGGCCTAAAAGAATGGCATAATCTTTTAGCTGTGACATACAAGGAGACCATCTCCTATAAAATATAAAGAACAAGTTAATAGAAACAATTAGTTTCAATGTTTAAGTAAATTTGGAATTTGATGGGTTTAATAAAATATGTGACCTTAGCTTTCCTTTTTTATGGAGTGGCTCTTTTAAATATTAGCTCATGACTTTCCAAACCAAAGTATCAAAAAGTCCCGTTGACTTTGTAGTTTGCCACCACAGTGATAAATCCTTTATAGCTGGTTTCCTGTTTTTTTTTGGTGAGAAGTATATATTGTACCCACTGTGTTTACTCATTGCTATGTAACAATTGAAATAACTCTTTCCTGTCTTCTCTCCTCGATTCTGGTGTCTGCAGCAAGCCGCTGATGTTGGAGTGGGAACTGACCTTGTTCCTTCAGTCACTGTAAAGGTATTGTACCATGGCTTTAGACTGTAATACATAAACAGTGTTACATATTTGATCACATCTGTCACTATTATCACCCTCTAAGTAGCTTATGGAAATACACAATAAACATTTGAGAAGTCTATATTTTCCTCAGCCTGGGAGAGTGAATAGATAACCTTCATTGTAACCTACATATCTAACACTGATAATTGCATCTACAGCAAAGTGTATATAAATAAGCATTTTAAATGATTTATTTCTGCCATCATTTAAATGCTTAGCATGATTCAGGGTTCTTTTTTTCTTTTTCTAGAAATGCAATTGAGGTTTTAAGTATGCTAAAGGAATTGTGTCATTACCATTCATAATAAACCAACCAATTGATATCGTAACATAAATAAAACTCTTGGAAATACCGAAGATCATATGAATGCTAATATTATCTTTCTCTATGTATTTGTGTTTTTTTGAAAAGAATTTCTAATCTCCGATCTGCCATAACATTAGCTTTAAATGGATGTATTTATAGCAAGAAACTATTCAATGAAGAAGCCACAAAGCAGAGTAGTGACAAATTGGCAGTTCTGGAATAATGGAATATAAAGGATGTGGTTTGGTTAAAAGTTTTAGTTCTATCCTTGTAGAATTTTAGAGCTAGAACTCAAATGTAGAACTCTCTCAAGGCTTTTAGATTAAAGTGTGGTAATCAGTCAGCACATTATTAAGCTAAAAATATTTATCGCTACCCAGACCTTGGAAGCCAGGGAAAGTTGTGGATTTTGGCGATTCACTTAGTCAAAACTTGGACGGGGCTTTATGTTTTCTTAGATTATGGGTTGCTGTCCTTGGAGGAGCTTGACAGGGAACCAGACTTTACCAATTGTGTTCGCTTACTCTGGATCCAGCGGGTGGCCCAAGTGTGGAGATCTTTGGTAGAAGTTGAAGGGAGACCAATCTTACAACAGTTTCCTAAGCTAATTTTTTTGGATTCTTGCCACTGGAAACAAGGGTGGTCTTTTTCCCAGTCCCCCTTCCCCTATCCAATCAAAGCCTCTATCTCATTAATACTTCTGAGTCTGGAAAAGCATTAATGGCAAGAAATCAAACACTTGGGCGAGAGGGAGGACTGCAGAGTTCCAGGACTGATCTATAGTCTGTTGTATAGGGAAAACTCTTGTAAACCTATCTAATTATTTTGTTCAGGTACATACATCTAACAATTTAGAAGTACACTGCAGATTGCAAAAAGAAGTCTTATACCAAAACCAGATAACATTGCTCATGCTGATTTTTTCCCTCTAATCATACAGTTCTTAGGCTTCCATGTATTAATAGCCACTTGAAAAGGATGGCTTGTCAGTCCTGGAAAATTCTCCTTCTTTAGTGGAATTTACTGTATTTGGGAGTGACTGAGTCACATCTCTGTTTTTCATTGCCATTTTAATGCACAAGCAAGAAAGCAAAACACAAGGGGTGCACAAAATCGACTGGACTTACATAGCAGACACAATGACTTCCTGATTCTGTCTGACAGTTTCTATACAAATTTCTCCTATAAATCTCTCCTTATGGCCTTTTATAACAACCACGGCCAAGATATATAACCATGCAAGTTTCCATCATAATAAATCCTGTTAATTGAGAAAAGTTTTCCATCCGTTCCAAGTGAACGAAGATGTGGCTACCTTGAGTATGTGTGCGTGATGCGTGACCATCTATTCTAGGCAACGAGGCAGAATGGGTGCTCATACCTGGCCTTTGGAGTCATATTTATATATTTAGGATAAAACTTCAGATTATATTTCCTAAGGATCTGATTTCATTTTGTTAGAAGCGGAAAATAGCATGGAAAATTCTTGTATTAACGTTTATATTTTCCCCTTAATATTCTATAATTATTTTTCTCTTAAAAATATGACGTTTATGATCTCGCCAAGTCTTTAACTCTTTTCTTGGCTCCAACACAAGTATTCTTTGTTACTGTAGTTACTTTCATCACATACTTCCTTGATTCACATTTGAAAAGGCCTAGGCCATTGTTGGGGTTTAATAAATCTGTGTATGAGAGATATCATCATGCCTGTGCCTGGCAGAGTCAGAATGTCTGCTGTATTACAGATGGGTCATTACTACTTTTAGGCTTTTTCATTTTCACTTTTAGAACCAAGACTTCTTGAAATGGTCTTGGTCACAATTTTCAGCTTGAGCATGTTTATTGGCTGTATGGTCTATGGTCTTGGACATGTCATTTAGCTTTTCTGAATCTCTGTTTACTAAACTGTAAAATGGGGATACTTTTTTCAGTTGCAGGGTTATATTGAGACTGCCACAGTAGGTCAAGTCGCATGGGCTCTGGATTCCTACATCTCACATGTAAATTGTTGTTCTACTTATAATCAGAGTGGCCTTGGACAAATTACTTATCCTCTCCAAGCCCCAATTTTCTATTCTGTAAAATAGTATATAATGGTAGTACCTGTTTTATAAGAAGTCCTGGCAGCGAAGTGGGTTACACATTGGGCTGCTAACCACACGGTCAGCAGTTTGAATCCACCAGTGTCTCCGAATGAGAAAGATGAGGCTTTCCGCTCCCATAAAGGAAATCCTATATAGCAGGGATAGGGAATGTCTGGCCCGTAGGCTGTACAAGGCCTGTGAAATCATTTGGTCTGGTCCTACCAAGGCAGCCACAGTTCTAGTCCTTACATAATGTTGTTGTTAAGTGCCATCAAGTTGGTTCTGACTCACAGCGACCCTGTATAGGGTTTCCAAGGAGTGGCTGGTGAGTTTGAACTCCAGACCTTATTGTTCAAACCTATTTTGTGGTCCAGTGCTTTATCCCACAGTGCCACACCTCTATCAGGTTAGTTTTAAATTGATAATTTTGTGTGGTCCACGAATGATGTTATAAATAGCCAAATGACCTTTGGCAGAAAAAAGTTTCCCCAGCCCCGCTACACAGGGTCGCTATGAGTTGGAATTAATTCAACAGCACGCCATCACCCGTTTTACACTGTTTTGAAGATTACATGAAAAATGTACACAAATCATCTATTAGCATTGTTTTTGTGCGATATTCAGTCTTTTCTGCCTGTGTAGGCTTTCTGAGAGTGCCAGTGGGTTTGAACTGCCGATTTTGCGGTTTTCAGTCTTATCCTACCATGCTACACCAGGGCTCTGCACATATGAAAAAATATGTAATGGCTGCTGTCATTAATATTACCAAGTTTACTTTAGAATATATATGACTGCTTGTATATTATTATCAATATCATTATATGATGATATTATTAATTACTTAAATTGTATCGTGTTTACTTAGTGGACTAGCTATCTGAAAGGGAGTCGTCTGTGGGGCTTTCTCAGTTTTTTTCTTCCCATAAGTACCATGAAGATTTTATTTAAAAAGTTCACTTACAATGGTCAGACATCATTAAAGAAACTTTATTGTCTATCCATTGTCCATGTATTCTCAGTGTTTACATATTGAAAACCAAGGATTCCTTGTTCATTTCCTATTCTGTTTATCTGCATAAATAATTGTCTCCAGAAATTGTTATTTTGCAGATAAAAATTTTTGCATTTATTTAAAAATTGTACAGAATACCCACATCACTTAAAATTAAAGTAAGTCATTTACTAAATTGAATTCTACATATAATTTAGGAGTGATGTATGCCTTTTACACAAGAAAAATTTAAAGCTACTTAAATAAGTATGTTTTTGCAAAGGCAAAAATTATGTCTGTTGATGATGAAATGTGTCTCTCTACTGTACTAGAACCTAGTAAGCTAAATTGAACTCTTTCGTAGCAAGACACCATAGAGAAGAGTCGTTCTCAACTCTTGTATATAAGATCCAAATTAAAAATTAAATCACATTAAAAATTATCAGTGTCCTTGCTTACCCCAGAGATTGTTTTGATGATCTCTAGCAACCCTTTTTAGGCAGGAGATTGTGCTAAGTCTCTACCAATCATGTGGGATGAAGTCATCCAATAGTGACTTTTCAATGACCTGAAACCACAGAAGACTAAATCGAAAGGGAGAAAATGCTCCAGGAAAGCAGGGTCTCTAAGCCTTTTCTTTGGTAACCTGAAAATGTCATTTCCTTAGCACTATGGCCAGCAAAGATCCGTGGGCCAGATATTTTCTGCTGAAATAACACTCCTCCTCGGGAGGGAGTGAGGAAGTCCAAGCTTTGTCTACTCAAATCCACCTCATCTCCCAGGCAGACTATTACCCCAGAGTTCTTACCTATTGCTTCTTGTTGGGGTGGGAGCACTTTCACGTGTCATCAAGCAACTTGTAACCAGGTTGGGAACGCAGCAGTCAATATTGACATTACGTTTTATTACTTTATTAAATATTTTCTAGAATCAGTTGTATCATATATTTTTGTGTTAGGAGAAAATGCATTGCTTTATATATATCTGTTGTTGTTGTTGTTGTTAAGTTGTTAAGTACTGTTGAGTCAGTTCTGAGTTACAGCGACCCTGTATAGGGTTCCCGAGGAGTGACTGGTGAACTTGAACTGTCGACCTTGTGGTTCAAACTGACTTTGCATTAACCCTCATCACCGCACCAGGACTCCCATTTAGCTAGACTACTCTTATCTTCACCTCGATAGATCACTGATAAAGAAATCTTTAAAGAATAATGAACTTGTACAAAAGGAAATATACTAATGCGGAAACAGACTAATAATTCATCATAATATTTTCATTCTACTTGAGAACAGTGAACATACATATAATCTTTCAAGTGATTATTCAACAGTCATGAGGGAAGATAGTGTATGTTTTGCTTGGATTTTGCTTTGCTTTATTGACATAATTTACACAATATACAAGTCACTCATTTTAAGTTTACAGTGTTTTTTAGTATATTCACAGAGTTGCACAACCAACATTATATTCTCATTCGACCCCCTAAAAGAAACCCTGTACCTATTAGCTGTCACTTCCCATTCTGGTCTGACATTCCCCCTTTTCTAGGTGTAAACAGCCACTAATTTACTTTCTGTCTCTTATGAGGGGGCTTCAAAAATTTGAGGAAAATGGAATTAAAAAGATAATAGATTTTTTTTTGTTTTTTTTACAGGTTTTTTGTTTTGTTTTGTTTTTAAGCTTCCTTGTATATTTGCCTAATCTGGACATTTTAATATAAATACAATCATACATGATGTGGTCTTCTGTTAGTAACTTTTTCACTTAGTATAATTTTTAAGGTTCATTCATGTTGTGTCATGTATTATACATAATTTCTTTTATTGTTGTCACTGATAAAGGGGGCTTAAAAAGTTCCTGGGAAAATGTAATTAGAAAACAATGGCATTTTTCCATAAGATTTTTGAAGCCCCCTTGTATTGTAGGGATATAATATATTTTCTTTATCTGTTCGTCAGTTGATGGACATTTGGGTTAGTTCTACTTTTTTGGCAATTATCAATAATGTTGCTATGAATGTTTGCATAAAAGTTTTTATGTGGACCTATGTTTTTGTTTCTACTGGGGGACACACACCTAGGAGTGGAACTGCAGGGTGATGTGGTTAATTTGTATTTAATGGTTTAAGAAATGGACAAAAACTATTTTCCTCATTGGCTGTACTATTTTAAATTCCTACCAGCAACCTGTACAGGGTCGCTATGGGTCTGAATTGACTCTACGGCACTTAACAACAACAACCAGCAATGTATGAGGCTCCTAGTTTCTCCATACCCTCACCAATTCTGTTTATAGCCATTGGTGATTGCAGTGGTATCTGCGTGTGGTTTTAATTTATAGTTAATTGGCATTTCCTAACAACTAATGATGGCAAGTAGCTTTCATGAGCTTATTGGCTGTTTATTTCTCTGCCCTGGAGAATTGTCATCCAGCTCTCTAACCCATTTTGAAGTGAGTAGACTATTTTAATGTACCACTGATGTTGCATGTTTTGTGGCTACTCATTTTTTCTCAAGTGATTTTTTTTGTGTTATTCTATCAACTTGGATGCAGTATCCTAATGAACTACATTTCTGTTTTATAGGTCACACTGCAGAGTCGGCTGCCACTGCAAAAAGCCAAATTATCAGTTTATGTGCAACCACCGTTAGCACTGACCTGTAGTCAGTTTACCTTTGAATGTATGGGTAAGAAAGTTTACCATGGCATGAGCATTTTTTTTAGTTTGGGTTTTGTTTGTATTTTTTCCTCCGAGCATCAAGCATGAGTATTCATTCAATCAGTATCTGTTGAGTTTAATTACGTATTAAGGCTTATAGATTTCTAAGTGTTTTCCTTAACTAGTTGGAAGTTAATACAATTAATTGATAAAAATACTATAATTTTAACTTTTTCTTTCTTCATTTGTCTTTAGTGACCTATTCAGTGAATCAGCAAGGGATTGGGAAAAGACTATTAGCTTTGGAGTCTGGACTGAACTTGACTCTTGGCGCTGACTCTAAGTGGTGTTGTTACACGCTGTCGAGTTGGTTCCAACTTGTATCAGCCCTGTATAGGGTTTCCAAGCAGTGACTTGTGGGTTTAAATTTCTGGCCTTGCAGTTAGCAGTCCAGTGCATATCCTACAGCACCATACCAGGACTCTACTCAATGTGTAACCTTGTGAAAACCACTCATTATTCACTTGGGGCCTCAGTTTTTTTAATCTGCAAAAAGGGGGGTAATATATTTTAGAGGTTGTTTTAAGGATTCAATTAGATAATGAATCTATGTAAGATAGATGTAAAAATGTCTAAAATGGTTATGTTGTTAAGTGCCGTTGATTCCCTTCCGACTCCCTTGTATAGGGCTTCCAAGGAGTGGCTGGTGGGTTTGAACCACCAACCTTGTGGTTAGCAATCTAGTGCTTCTCCTACAGCACCACACACTTCATAAATAGCAACTTTTAGTAAGATTTCTCCCCCAACTCCTTATGTCCAAGTTATCGACAAGTCCTGTGAAATGTTCACTGAACTATTTTCAAGTCTTTTTCTTTCTTTGTTTTCTGCTAGTGTTCTGTTAGACTAATATCTCTTTCTCATGAAGCTAAGAACTGCCCTCTTTTTATTTTGCTTCCTTAGCTGAGTGTCTTGCATTTAATCAAATTCATCGAATATCACAATGACCTACAAAACCATTGCCTTACAATTAGAAGAAAACATCCAAGTAAAATGAATAATCATAAAATGATGTAACATGTTGTAACATAAGTAGTAGATTAAAATGTTCTACCCAGTTAAAAGTGGGCTAAAGAGTTTCTCTGAATGGGCGCTCAATAAATCCTCATCGGATGAGTGAATGGTTGAACGATTACATGAAGTAACCTTGTAGGTGCTTCTCTACCATTGGTTTTTTCACTTAATTTTCTAGTTATTCACAATACTTCCCAATTTATCTTTATAAAGCACTTTCTGACCAATTCATACTTCTGGTGTCTTAGTTATCTAGTGCTGCCATGACAGAAGTACCACAAGTGGATGGCCTTAGTAACCAGAAATGTATTCTTTCACAGTTTAAGAGCGTAGTGGATTATGAGCTGGACTGCTAACCACAGTGCCAGAAGTGTGAAGCTACTTGCTCTTTCGTGGGTGAACTAGGAGGCTTTCTGCTCCCATGAAGATTTACATCCTCAGAAGCTGTATACAGGGTCTCTATGAGTCAGAACTGATTCCACAACACGCAGCCACCCCCATCACCACAGTTTAAGAGGCTAGAAGTTCGATTTCAGTGTAATGACTCTGGAGAAAGGTTCTTGTCTCCTTTCAGCCTCTGTAGGCCCAGCATGCCTTAGAGATCTCCATGGGTCTTAGCATCAATCTTCCCCTGGATCGAGGTTCTTCACAGTGCAGGGACCCCAGGTCCAGAGGACGTATTCCACTCCTGGTGCTAGTAGGACCTCCTTTCTCTGTTCATCTCTTTTATCTCTTGCAAGACAAAAGATGTTGAATGCCCAACCTTGGGATTCTCCCATAAATCGGGTCAGGGTGGTGGTAAGATTAAGGAACTCTGATAGCCAGAAAAAGATGCTCCCACAAAGATTTACAGACTTGGAAACCCTATATAGGATCATGATGAGTAACAACCGACTTGATGGCACACAACCAACACCATTCCACCCTTAATCCCCTTACTGATTGTTCACATCAAATCACATCAAGGGAGATAGCTGTATCTCAACTGCCAAACCACTGAGGATCCTGGCCCAGTCAAGTTAACAGAGAACCTTAACTATTACATTTAGTTTAAAATCTCAGATGGCTCTCAAATTCACACATATACACACAGACTCACACACACACACACACCCCTGCCTGCCCTTCCATTTTATCTTTTCCCTTGCAGTCTTTGTTTCTAGGTATGACAGAGTAATATTTTTTGGTATTGTCTTGCTTGTTTGTGTTTGTTTCTGTGTTCATACTGCCTGTTCATTGGAGTAAGGGAAGCTAGTGTAGTAGAGTGTTCGGTGCCTTTGCTTTCTAGTTAGTTTCTAGCTCTAATATTAGCTCTGGGACCTCGGGTAAGCTTTTCAATCTCCGTGTTCCAGTTTCCTCAAGTAATAGAATGGGGACCATAATAGCTTCTATCTCATGGAGAACAGTATCTGACATGCAATGAATGCTTAGTAAATCTCAACTGTTGTTAATAGTCATTAAAATTGTGTAACTTACATTACTTTGAAATTGCTTATAGCACCAGAGATGACTAGAACAGTAGCCTTTTCTGTTCATTTGAGAGGAAGTTCTACACCATCGGATTTGGAAGGAAATGCTGTTGTTTCATATTCCAGACCTACAGGTAAACATACAATTGTTTATGAGTTTACAACCTAATCACTTATTTTAAATTATCGAAAGTATGAGTCAGATGCCTAAGTGCTTAAGATAGAAAAGCACACTGTAAAGGAGCTCTGGTAGCGTAGTGGTTATGAATCGGGCTGCGAACCTCAGGGTCAGCAGTTCGAAACTACCAGCTGTTCCGTGGGAGAAAGATGAGGCTTTCTGCTCCCGTAAAAGATTTACAGCCTCGGAAACCCTGTACAGGGTCGCTGTGAGTCAGAACCGACTCCACGGCACTTAACAACAACAACAACGACAACAAAGTATTATTAAATTAAACATGTTCTTTTCTCACTTTAAATAAAATTTTATGTCCCTGTTACTTTTATGTGTTATAAGTAATTCGCTATGTCTGTTAAGCTGATTTCCATATATAATGCTTGATTTCATCTTTGCAGTTAATATTGTTCTTGCTGTTAAGTGCTATCGAGTTGGTTCTGACTCATAGTGACTTTGTGTAGGGTTTCCGAGGCTGTAAATCTCTAAATCTTTATGGGAACAGAAAGCCTCATCTTTCTCCATCAGAGCAGCTGATGGGCTCAAACTGCTCACCTTGTGCTTTGCAGTCCAGCACTTATCCTACAGAGCTATCATATTCCATATTGCAGTTAGTAGTACATTTTATATATTTTCATTCCTACTAGATAAATGGATTCCTGGTGTGGCATTGTTGGATAAGCACTGAACTGTTAACTACAATGCCGGCAGTTCAAATCTACCTGTTGCTACTCGAAAACCTATACAGGGTCGCTATGTGTCAGAACTGACTTAATGGCACTAAGAACAGCACCAACTAGAATGGTATCTACTCAGATGCAATTTATTTGATCCAAAGAGAAAGGGTTAGTTAGAATTAGTGGGAAAGAGTAGTATGATGAGCCTAAAATTTAAGCATTCAATGTTTCAGACACTATTACAGTGATTAGATAGAACTCTTTAGAATCTAAAATGCTAAACTATTTAAGATTCTAATTTAGTATTTATTTAAGCAGATACACTAAAATTTGGTGTGTTTTTCTTAAAGATACTGTTTTTAGATGAGAAAAGCTTATTTTTAGCTTACTTGAGATTTGACTACTGCAAATTTCAACTTAACTTGAGTCTAACTATAGATCCTTTTTATTTTTGCACAGTGAATTCTTTATGCTAATAGCCAGATAATCAGTTGATTAATAGAAAATAAGACTTATGATTCACTGCTTCAAAACAAAACAAACTTTTAAATGTACTGATAACATACCATATTGCAGCAAATTTGTATTTGTGTTTTAAAAAACATCCCTGTTACTTTTAAAATCTTCTAGAATATTATAGTTATCTTGTTATTCTCAATTTATGCCTATTTATTTGACAACATTTTTAAAAATTGAGAAAATTTTTTCTTTGTCTAAAAATCTGACTTCTTCATTGACAGCTCTGTATGCTCTGATGTTATAACTTTTGTACACACTTTCAAAACCTATTTCTTCTGCTTTGTGAAACATTTTGTTTTAAAAGTGGGGGGGAGAATTTTTTAGCTGGAAATAGCCACTTTGACTATTTACCTGTATTTTAACTTCAGAATCTATAAATTTTTTTTTTTTTTTTTTTTGCTTTAAACAACTTTGCTAGAGCTGACTTCACAAAGAAATACATAACTTCCATAAGGCACTAAGGAATGCTGGACATTTTGGTTGTGTAATCCTGAAAAGAACATTGGTATTTTTAATGTTATTGTCATTTTGAGTTATGAAATTAAAAAGTGAGAAACACTTGACTAAAATCTTTATGTCATTTATCATTAATCAAGTACTTAATAATCAAAGGTATTGTTGTACCTTTTGCTCTTGTTACATTACCAATATATAGTCTTAGATAGTTCCAATACCTTAATTTGACTGATTTATTCCTTTTCAAGAAAAAGTAGTGACTACTTGAAAATAAAATGAAATACAGAAATAGGTAACAGGAAGTAAACTAAAGTTTAAAAATACAATATAGAGTTATACCATCTGTGAATTTATGGGTTCAGATATCATTTTTGGATGTTATTAAGGAGCCCTGGTAGTGTAGTGATTACCCATTGGGCTTGCTAACTGAAAGGTCAGTAGTTGGAATCTACAAACCCCTCCTCTGGAGAAAGATGAAGGCTTTCTGCTCCCATAATGATTTACTGCCTCGTAAACCCTATACAGGGTCTCTGCTAAGTCGGAACGGATTTGATGGCACACCACCACCACCATGCTTGTCTGTAGACAGAATTTAAAAGCTCATGAATCATTGCCAAGCCAACAGAATGTAGACATTAAATGGCTAAAAGTGAACTGGAAATTAATGTTAAAAAATATGTCTATAAAATTAAAAAATATTTAAAAGAAGGAAAAAAAAGGAGGCCTTGTTCTAGAGTAACATCCATGGAATTGACGGTAGGTTTAACAAGACTGCTTGGAACCGCTCTCAATGCCATTTACATGTTATTTTGAGTTTCCCTTGTGCTTGTTGCTGTTAAGTGCCCTTGAGTTGCTACTGACCCATAGCAACCTAGATCAAATGTCCTTTTCCTCCTTTTGCTACATTTGCACTTGAATAACGCTGTCTCATAAAGAGGGTTTCCTGAGAATGAAAGTGGAGATATATTGTTGGATTTCATTTGCTGGTGTTAGTTTTTAATTGTCAATTGAGTGAACACGTGTTTGATCCAGATACCATTGAAACCATCATGAGATCTTGAAATTTTTTATTTATGTTTAAAATGAATGTGTTAAATTTGCATTGTCATTTGACCATAGCTAATCCGTTGCCTTATATTCTCTCTCCACTGCTCATTTTGCAACGCTTCTGATGGATAGATCGAAATCCTGATGGTAAGTAAAAAGAAAATTTAGAAAAAAATGAATCTCAGAATTCATTTAAAATGAAATTTGATCATAAAATTGAATTGAGCATTATATTATGAATGAGCTCTGCTTATGAACAGATGCATTTAAAAATACAATTAACTTTTCACTGTGAATTGAGTCAAGTTTGACAGAGCAGATCATCAGTTTTACACAGATCATGAACTCATGCACTTCGTTTTTTCTCAATGAATGCAGTCTCCTCAATGTAACATCCCTTATCCCACTTTCTCTGTGTTTTTTTGCGCCATTCCTTCTTCTCAGCATACCCTTCTGAATTTTACCCTTAGGTAAATGCTGCCGTTTTGATATGAATAATTGACCATTCTGTGGCATATATATCTCAGTAGTCATGTTGTACCCCAGTTTTCAGTCGAGTAAAATGAATCACAGGGGGAGTTTCAGGTTCAGCGTTGATGGATGACCAAGGACCGTAGTCTTGGGATTCTATCGGCCTTGGTCTGACCAGTATGTCTGGTCTTTTTTATGATTTTGTGTTTGGTTCCACGTTTTCTCCAATTCGATCCAGGACCTTCTAATGTGATCTCTCAGAGCAGTTATTAGTAGCACCAATAGGGTTTATGGTCTCAGGGTTGTGGAGACTGATGTTCATGTAGTCCATTAGTCCAAACACTGGACTAATTGTTTTCAAGCATATTCAATTTTTATCACTCTTCTTTCCTCTGGACAGGGAGAGACCAGTAGTTTTACTGTAGATGGCCTATCTTAAGTTTGTACTACTGTTTTAATTGCAGAAACATCTTTAGGCTATTACAGTGCCTCGATCCTGCTATGAGGGGATGATAGATGTTTCTCCTACATAAGACTTGTCACTGTTAATTTGTTCAGAATCATGAAAACAAATTAAGCTAGAAATAAGATCAGAAGGCCTTTTGAAAAAAATCAGAGATGTCATTGAAAGCTTATTTCTGTAAGTCATTGAATGCTGTTTTCTAATTTTACTTAAGCAAAGTGTAGGGAAAAAACATGTCATTGAATTCTATTTGTGTTCTACGTGCCCTAAGAGATTCACCTGTTTTTAATAAAATTGCCATGTGTACTCACTCTGTGGGCCCATTCCTTGTCTAGTTTAGAAATTGTGAGGGAATGGCACAATTTCAGGGTACACTGAGAAGAAGGAATGTGACCTGTGTCAGTTTTAACTGATACTCATTTTGTTTTCCCTAAATCCTATATCATAATATGACTATCATGAAGTTTGTCCTTTCAGTTTCCCAAGTAGATTTGGAGCTGTTTAGATGTTTTGGGATCAAGTTATCATTGAACAGTGCAGTGCCCAGCTCACTGTCAGGGGGTCAGTGCCCAGCTGGTCAGTTACTGTTGAGTCCATTATGGCTGTCACAGTGTCAGTCCATCTTGTTTGAAGTCTTCCTCTTTTTCCTTGACCGTCCACTTTACCAAGCATGACATCCTTCTCCAAGAACAGATCCCTCCTGACCACATGTCCAAAGTACGAAAGATGAAGTCTCTCCATCTTTGCTTGTAAGGAGCATTCTGGTTGTACTTCTTCCAAAATAGATTTATTTGTTCTTCTGTAGTCCATGTCACCTTCAGTATTCTTCACCAACACCCTAACCCAAATACATTGATTCTTCTACGGTCTTCCTTATTCACTGTCCAACTTTCACATGCATATGAGGTGATTGAAAATATCATGACTTGGGTCAGGCGCGCCGCAGTCCTCAAACTGACACCTTTGCTCGTAAACACTTTAAAGAGGTGTTGTGCAACAGGCTTGCCTATTGCAATATGTCATTTAATTTCTTGACTGCTGTTTCCATGCTTGTTGAATGTGGATCCGATCCAAATGAAGTCTTTGATTACGTCAGTCTTTTCTCCATTTATTAATGTTACTTATTGGTCAGGTTGTGAGGAATTTTCTTTTCTTTATAATGAGGTACAACCCATGCTGAAGGCTGTAGTGTTTGATCATCATCAGCAAGTATTTCAAGTCCTCTTCCCTTCCAGCAAGCAAGGTTGTGCCATCTGTATATTGAGGGTTGTTAATGAGTCTTCCTGTAGTCCTGATGTCACCTTCTTCTTCATATAATCCAGCTTCTCGAATTCTTTGTTCAGGATACAGATTAAATAAGTATGGTGAAAGATACAACCCTTGCACACTTTTCCTGATTGTAAACTATTCAGTATTCCCTTGTTCTGTTCAAATGACAACCTCTTAGTTCAGGATCCTCATAAGCACAATTCAGTGTTCTGGAATAGTCATTCTTCATGGTGTTATCCATAGTTTGTTATGATCCACATAGTCGATTGCCTTTACACCGTCAATAAAGCACAAGTAACTATGTTTCTGGTATTTTATGCTTTCATCCAAGATTCAGCTGATGTCAGAAGTAATAGCCCTCATTCCTTGTCCTCTTCTAAATCTGACTTGAATTTTGACAGCTCCCTGTTGATGTATGCTGCAGAATTTTACTTGCATTTGTTCTTATTGAAATTGTTTGATGATTTTTCCGTTCTGTTGTGCCACCTTTCTTTGGAATGCATGCCAATCGATCTCTTCCAAATTTTTTGTAATAGACAAGTAGTATCTCCAGTGCTGCTTCAATTTATTGGAATATTTCAATTTGTATTCTGTCTAATCCAGTACCCTTGGTTGTTTTGCCAATGCCTTCAGCGCATGTTGGACTTCTTCCTTCAGTACCAGTGGTTCTTTATCATATGCTACCTCTTGAAAGGATTGAAGTTGTCAAGGACTTCATTCTTCTTGGATCAACTATCAACACTCGCGGAAGTAGCAGTCAAGAGATCAGACGACGTATTGCACTGGGCAAATCTGCTGCACAGGAACTTTTTAAAGTATTGAAGAGCAGAGATGTCAGCTTGAGGACTAGGGTGCGCCTGACCCAGGCCATTGTGTTTTCAATAGCCTCATATGGATGCGAAAGCTGGACAGTGAATAAAGAGGATCGTAGAAGAATTGATGCCTTTGAGTTGTGGTGTTGGAGGAGAATACTGAGGGTGCCATGGACTGCCAAAAGAACCAATAGATCTGTTTTGGAAGAAGTGCAGCCAGAGTGCTCCTTGGAGGCCAGGATGGCTAAGCTTCGTCTCTCCTACTTTGGACATGTAGTCCGGAGGAAACAATCGTTGGAGAAGGATGTCATGCTGGGTAGGGTGGAGGGTCAGAGAAAAAGAGGAAGACCTCCAACGAGATGGATCGGCCAGGTGGCATCATTGATGGACTCGGGGGTGGCAGCGGTGGTGAGGTTGGCCCAGGATCGAACATTGTTTCGTTCTGCTGTGCATGGAGTCGCTATGAGTCGGTTCCGACTCGATGGCACCTGACAACAACAACAACAACCTCTTGAAATGGTTGAACCTTGACCATTTTTGGGTACAGTGATTTTATGTATTCCTTCCATCTTCTTTTAATATCTCCTGCTTCATTCAATATTTTGTCTATAGAATCTTTCAATATTTCAAGTTGAGACTTAAATTTTCTTTTCAGTTCTTTCAGCTTGAGAAGTTCTGAGTGTATTCTTCTCTTTCAGCTTTCTATTTTCGAACTTCAGGTCTTTGCACATTTCATTATAATACTTGATCTTGTCTTCTCGAGCTGCTCTTTGAGATTTTCTGTACTGCTGTTTTACTTCCTCATTTCTCCTAGTTGCTTTAACTTTTCTACACTCAAGATCAAGTTTCAGAGTGTCTTCTTACATTCATTTTAGTCTTTCTTTTCTGTCTTTTAAATGACCTTTTGCTTTCTTCCTGTATGATGTTCTTGATGTCATCCCACAACTCTTTTGGTCTTTGGTTATTAGTGTCCAATGCATCCAAGTTGTTCTTGTGATGATCTTTAAATTCAGATGAGATATACTCAAGGTCATAATTTGGCTCTAGTGAACTTGTTTTAATTCTCTTCAGTTTCAGCCAGAACTTGCATAGGAGCAGTTGATGGTCCCTGATCTTATTTTGGCTGACACTGAGCTTCTCCTTTGTCTCGTCACCCAAATTTTGTTAATTTGAATCCTGTGTATTTCATCTGGTGAGGTCCAAGTGTATAGTCACCTTTTATGTTGTTTAAGAAAGTTATTTGCAATAATAAGTCATTGATCTTGCAAAATTCTATCATGTGATCTCCAACTTCATGTCTATCACCAAGGCCACATTTTCCAACTACTAACCCTTCCTCTTTGTTTTCAGTTTTTGCCTTTCAATCACCAGTAATTATCAACACATCGTGATTACATGTTTGATCAGTTTCGTACTGATGAAGTTGGTAGAATTCTTCAGTTTCATCATGGGCATCCAGTGGTTGATGCATACATTTGAATAGTGGTATTAGCTGGTCTTCCCATACTCATATATGGATAGTATCCTGTCTCAGAGGGCGTTGCACTCCATGACAGATCTTGAGATACTCTTCTTGATGATGAATGCCACACCTTGTATTATTAATGAATATTTACATGATAAGGCTTTAGACTAAATTTTGTAAAATATTATATTATCATTTAAATGATTTATTTTTTAAAAAAATTTGAAAAGTCTGTAAAAGGTATTGTTGAAGGAATCCTGGTGTGGCACTGTGGGTTAATGTGCTGGGCTGCAAGGTCAGCAGTTCAAACTCACCAGCCGATCCTCAGAAATCCTATACAGGGTTGCTATGAGTTGGAACCGACTCTGCGGCACTTAACGACAACTGTAAATTCAGCCTGAATGATGGGAAACAAGGTCAAGTATTGGAATTTTAGTATTCCAATTAAAAGCTAAAGTAGGTCTTAATAACCTCTTATTATCTATTTAAAAATCATAATTAAGCTTCTGGGAGTCTAGTTTCAATATTCAGCATCACCTAGTAGGCAAGAAAATAGTATGTTGCTACTTAAGCCCGACATACACATAGGGCTTCATATTTCAAAGACCGATTCATTTTATTGGCTTGATCTGTTCAGGCAGTGTTGCAGATAAGCAGTTCTGCTTTTCCGTGTGAAAAAAGAGAAGCAAGCGAGGTTTTATGTTGTCCCATAAGAGTTAGTCTCCATTATTTCTGCATTAAAGTTACATGACACGGGCAGTGTAAAACATGAGTACCGATGAAGCACAGTACGTCTCCAGACATAACAGGAAGGGATCAAGGAAGTTCTGGCTACCAGACATTGCTACTGCTTTGGGGTTCCTTGTTTTCAATCTGAAACGACTCTAGCAGATCCCTGGAAGGAGTTTAAAGGCATTATATAGATGTGTAATATATAGGTATACTTATTCTACTTTAATATACACTTACTTTTTTTTTAAACAACCCACATTTTGGCTTCCTATTTGACAGTGATACTGGACTCTTGGGTGTGCCAGGTGTGTTGAGTATTCTATTCCTGGAAACACTGTTCTGCCAGGAGTGGTTCTGATGTGAGTTTTCTAAGTGTTAAAGAATTTTGTGATTAATAATACCGTAGCAGTTGCATCTATTCATTTACTCTTATAGACTAGGAAAGAAGGGTTTGAAGAATAGGTGATCTATGAGTATTAGGTGACAAACTGCAGAACAAAGTTAGCCTGCTGAGTGACAGTTTGGCTAATATTTGAGTAAAAGAAATAACATTTTATTTTTATTTATTTATTTTTTTACTCAGAGTAACATTCAGAGAGTTGAATAAGCCAGGTATAAAGACTATTTTGTCAATTCTTTAAAGAAAGTATTGCTGATGGTAGACACTTAGGACCAATTAGGCTCTTTCACCTAAATTGAAATCTTTTCTACAAGCAACCTTGAAAAGTCTTTAAATCGATGTAAGTCTTTCCTTCCTTATTTCCGATTACACACATGTAAAACCCACCCCCACACCTCTACTTGCTTTGGCTTCAGGTTCATAGATACAATTATAGTGTCTGAAAAGTAATTGGTAGCCAAATTTTACATTTAACGTTTCTCAAGGAAATGTAAATCTCAATAGAAGTGTGCCTTTGATAATCCGTATACCTAAATATTTGAGGTTGTATTTTGAAATGCTCAAATTTTAATTTGATGGGAAATACTATTAAATACTGGTATGCTAATTTTTCATCTTAAAGGTACGCGTCTCTTAATCTGGTTTCTAAGGAATTGTATACTCTCTTTTCCCCTAATGGTTAAAACTTTTCAAATACCATCATTTAAGAAATAGCTATAAAAAAATTTAAAAAAGAAATAGCTATAATCATTGTATTAAGAGTGTCATCATTTTTTTCAAAGTAATGCTTTCCAAATGTGCTATAAAAAAGGTTCACAATTCCTGGATAGAAAAGAAATTCTGGAGGGGTTCTACAAACCTTAGCAATGACAGATTGTTGCTCTAGTATGTGATGTTGTCATTAAGTGACCTTAACTGAATTGTGAGTTGAATTACAATGTATTTCCCATCTTGGGTTTATTAGTGTGTGCAAACCATTTGTTTTGATTTCTGAAAACATTTACCACCCACCTCCTACCCCCAACTTTTTAAACTTTTTTTTTTGAGCTTTAGAGTAATAATTTTCAAATATACAGACTTAGTAATATAAAACCAGTGTTGTTGGTCATTTTCTTCTTCTTCTTACCAGAAGTTCAGTCAGTAGCTTGTCCAAGTGAAACTGAGGCCACAGAATAGATTTAGCAGAACATTTGCAGCATTGTTTTGTTTAAAACAATTAGCTCTATCTTTGGTTGAAAGTGTGTAGAAGACAGATTTCTTTTGTGTATATGCAGAATGGTCATAATATGAAACATTTCTCCTACCCCTCCCCATTATTATGTGCATTAAAAATGAAAGAAAGGGAAACAAGCTTCACTTGTCTGTTCTTTCCATACTGTGTCCTTTAATTGAGTCTGTAATTTACTTATTATAAAGAAACATATTCAGTGTGTAGATGTATATAATTTGGAGATATATCGAATATATGGAAATTTTCTTGAAGACAGAAAATTAGTGCTTTGTAATATTTTGTGGTGACATTGATAGTCAAGGTTTGAGCAGTAGCTTAGATCATATTACCATAATATTTTGAGTCAAAACATTTCACCATTGTAAAGTACAAATGCACATGCCTCTAAAAGCCTCACAGAATGTCAGGAAATAATACCCTGGGACTTTTCTTAAGAGGCACCAGTTATAATTTGCATCTAGGATTCCAGGAGAAGTGAATTTAACATCTGTTTGTCATGAGCAAAAAATGAGCTATGTTAAATTTGATGGATAATAGATTATGTTGAAGAGAATGACAAATATGCTCCACATGCTCTGAAAAAGCATTTAATTTACCTCATATATAAATATCCTTGCCATTACTGAGTATCTCTCACTATCCTAGTGAGTCAATGGTCCTGAGACGTGTACATTGAGCTTGAATGTGGCGTAGGTCATACAACTCCAGGTGGTATTCACAGATACATTCCTGAGCTGAACAGTTTGAGTTTTCCATTTCCTTACTCTGCTAGATGTAGTCTTTTCATCGTGTCCAGTGAAAGACTGTGTCCCAGAATAAAAGGGAGGGAAACAAGCTTTTAGCATTGCTTTCCTAGGGTTATAAGCAGAAAGCCTCATTTGCTTTGGTTTCAATTTCATACTCTCTAAAAGAACTTAAAGGAGCTCTGGTAGTGCAGTGGTTATGAGTTGGGGTGTTAACCTCAAGGTCAGCAGTTCAAATCTACCAGTGGTTCCGCGGGAGAAAGATGAGGTTTTCTGCTCCCGTAAAGATTTACAGCTTTGGAAACCCTATACAGGGTCGCTGTGAGTTGGAACCGACTCCACGGCACATAACCACCACCACCACCACCAAAAGTATTTAAAGGAGCTCTGGTAGTGTAGTTAGTGGTTACCAATCGGGCTGCTAATCTCATGGTCAGCAGTTTGAAACTACCAGCTGTTCCATGGGAGAAAGATGAGGCTTTTCTGCGCCAGTAAAGATTTATAGCCTCGGAAACCCTGTACAGAGTCGCTATGAGTCGAAACCAACTCCATGGCACATAACAACAACAACAAAAAGTATTTAAAGGAATGATATTAAGGATTTAAAAAGTTCTGGAGCAAAACTCTTTGTTGTTTATTTATCCAAGTACCTATACCAGCATGCATGTCTGTACTGAAAAATTTGACAGTTGAATAACTGTGTAAGCCTTAGCAAACTCCACTAACAGTGGTTATATGAAGTTAAATGACTTGAGAGAAATATAATTCATATATAAGTCATATTCTTAATATTAATGTGTAAAATGGGCAGGGACTTCAGCAGAACTTAAGTAGAGCAAATTTTGTTTCATGTTAATAATTTATTGAAAATTATTAATGTAATTTGAACCTAAAGTAAGTAAAACAGCTAAGGATTATTCTTTTGGTAGAGAAATGATTAGCTAGGATGATATAGAGTCCTAATGCCATAAAGGAGTCCTGCTGTAGTCCTGTAGGATAAGTACTGGACAGTTCAAACCCACCAATTGCTCCTTAGAAACCATATACAGTGTCGCTATGAGTCAGAATCGACTCAATAGCAGTTAACAACAGTGTTATAAAGTTCTTAATTCATTGTAGATGGTAGCCTTAGATATTAGGGCTTGGACTTTGAAGAACTCGGTTTAAAGAAAATTTCAATAACTGAACGTAATTTTGAAAGATTTATATAGTGTCCCAATGTGAGTATTTTTAAAAAAATTACCTTGTTTTTATATAAAATACGATTTTAAGGTTTAATTTTTTCCTTGCACTTTTGGAAAAGAATATAAAACTATGAATTTTGAGACTACTTCACAGTTATTTCAGTTACGATAAATGATATAGGCAGGGAACACACTTCTGGACTAATACATTGCTAGCCAAAGTATCGATGGTTCCCTCCCCTTTTTTTCCTTTTTATTTAACAAATGTATGAACCTATGTTTTCCTCTCTTTTCTTTCAGGTATTCCTCGAATTGTCCAATGTAAATTTAGACTTCCCCTGAAGTTAATCTGCCTACCAGGTCAACCTTCAAAAGCTGCAAGCCACAAACTAACCATTGATACCAACAAATCTCCAGTCTGCCTTCTCAGCCTCTTCCCAGGTAGGACTTTTGAAGTAACACGCCTGTAGCTTGAGAAATGTTAGGAATTTAGATTGGAATCCTTCATCAACAGGTAATGATGGGGTAATTATCAGATAATTGTTAAGTACAAATATAAAAATGCCTCAAGGATATTCCTTTCTTGTTTGTCTGTTCAACAAGGTAATAAGGCGTACCTTTTAAGTTTGGTTAAAATTATTATAATCATTATTTTGCTTCAGTATTCAGAAGTGGAAACATCAAATGTTTCTTGTTAGACTAAGGCATTTTTAGCTTGGAATGTAAATATTTATTATTCTCCTTTATATATCCTTTTTCTAAGCATATCAATATTTATTATTCATCTTCAGTGTAGGTGTTTGGATAGGTACCTTTTTAAAGGATATTCTTATGCTCCTGATGAGTAATTTTATAAGCAGGTGCTCTGTGTGGTGCTGTTGTCTCTGGCTGCTGGAATGGACCAATAGTCATTCTTTGGCTCTGTAGTTTAGAGGGGCAACATATTTAAGGTTTGACTAACATAGTGAATGTTTGGGGGTAATTTGTAACTTTCTCCAGGTGTCAGTATTCCTTCCGAGAGCTTGAAAAATAGAGAGACTTTCATTGGAGAAAACATCTTTAGCAGCCAAGATTTCTACTGTGTTACCTTTATTAACTTTCTTGGTGATGGGGTGCAATTAAAAAAAGCTGGGGATTAAACCAACCCTTTTAAATCCTTTATTAAAAATCAGCACTGTTGACTATGACATGCATCCTCACCCTGGCATTAGTGGGTAGGATTTAGAATAAAAGGATCTATTGCCCACAAGGTTTAGAAATTTATGGTAAGTCAACTTTTGTGTTATTAACTACTTAAAAGTGCTTAAAACTTATTTCTCATTAGTTTGAAGTGTTTAGAAAGTTTATTTTTTATATAACTCTTTGAAAAATCTCCAAAACTTGATGCTCTTTATAACATATTGTCTCCTCTTTAGTTTGAATTGAATCTGGGTATATGCATGTACAAGTATACGCTGTTAGCGAATAATTTTGAACCTTTTGTTTTCTTTCTTTCCTTCCTTTTTTTTCTCACTTCAGGTCACTTTGCTTTTTTTTTACTTCTTCCTTGTAAAGTTTCTTAAGACAAATTCAGTTGACAGAAAAGATAGAAAAATTCATTACCTTTGTAACATCATCCATAATCTTATTTAGTCCTTAGAATCTTCTATACTACCCTGGGAATAGTGTTGGGAATTAGATGTCGTATATTGAATTTATTGGAGTCCTGGTGTGGCGCTGTGGGTTAATGCGCCACACTGCAAAGCCATTTGAACGGCAAGGTCGGAAGTTCAAGCTCACCTGCTGCTCTTCAGAAACCCTGTACAGGGTCACTATGGGTCAGAATCGACTCACGGCACTTAACAACAACAGTTGAATTTATTGATGCCATTGAAAAATGTTGCCTGGCTTCTGAGGGGTTGATTTTTTTTTATATATGGGTAAATGCCAATTAGACAATGACTGAAAATGCATGCCTTTAGCCAAAGAGGTAATCTTTGTAAGATATGGATTGGACACAATATTTTCAGGAAAGCTTTAGATAACTCATCCATTTTCCTCCTGAGTTTGAACTGACACGTACGCCATCGGTATCTCATGCTCTTCAGCATACACTTGCTTCTTGCTCACTCTAGAACTAAGACAACAAACAAATTGCAAGAAAACTAGAAGACGAAAGTTGAATTAAGGTGTATGCACATTTGAAAACTTGATTTTTTTCAAAAAAATTGCATTAGTTTATACTCCTAGCATCAGGGTTCAATTCCAGTGTAACAGCTGGGTTCTTAAATTTTTTTTTAATTTGTGACATTTCTATGTGAAAAATGATACTTTTCTTACTTGCGTTTCCCAAATATTTGTTAATGTAAACTTTTTGTTCCCTTTATTAACTATTTTTTTAACACGTGAGGTTTATAACTTTGTGCAGTAAAATTTATTGGTTGTTATCTTTATATTTGCAGGTTTTCATGTTGTATGAAGAATAATTTTCTGTATTACAAGATTATTAAGTATTTGTATTTTCTTTGAGTACTTTTTACTATATTCTTTTACTCTCAAACTTGGTTTCATTGCATTTTTTTTTTGCTTTTCTAAGCGGCTGTCTTGAAGTATAATTTACATATAGTACATTGCACAAGTTTGAAGTATATATTTTACCATTTTAGTATTTATCTATACCTGTGAAACAATCGGTATAATCAGGATGCTGAACATACCCAACACTCCTAAAAGTTTCCTTAGTAGCATCCTTATCCTCAGGTTGTCAACCGCTAATAGGCTTTCTGTCACGATAAGTTATGTTTTCTAATATTTTATAAAATGAAACTTCCTTTTTGTCTGCCCTCATTCACTCCTTTATGAGATACGTGATTTACAAATATTTTCTCACTGTCTGTGGCATGTCTGTGATTTCTTTGGAAGTCCGTTGTTGTTAAATGCCATCAAATCAGTCTCATTCATAGCAACTTTCTGTAGGATTTCTGAGGAGCGGCTGGTGGGTTTCAGCTGCCAGCCTTTGGTTAGTAAGTAGTCCAGTACTTCTCCTACAGCGCTGTCTGGAATTCTTAATTTTGATAAAGCCCAATTTATCAATTTTTAATTTTATGGATCATGTTTTTAGTGTTGTATCTCAGAAATTTTTGTCTAAAAGAAGGTTACCCTGTTTTTCTCCAGTTTTTTTTTTTTCCTGGAAATTGTCTAGTTTTTGCTGTATATTCAAATCTGTTATTCATTTTGAGTTAATATTTGTGTGTGGTACAAGACATGAATAAAATTCATGTTTTTGCATATAGATTCGTAATTGTTTTGGTAACATTTTATGAAAAGACTTTTCTACTCAATGGTTTTTGCATCTTTGTAAAAAATCATACATAGGGGACTTAAAAAAAATTGTGGAAAATAGAATTGAAAGATCCTGGAATTTTTCCGTGAACTTTTTGAAGCCCTCTCAGATGCGTGGCTCTAGTTTTGCATCATGTATAGACAGTCTTGAAGTCACGTAACGTAAGTCCTTTGACTTTATTCTTTTTCAGAGTTGTCCTAGATATTCTAGGCCCTTTGCATTCTCATATAAATCTTAAAATCAGCTTATCAAATAAATTTAAAAAATCCTGCTGTGATTTTGATTGGGCTTGCATTGATTCCGTGCATCAATTTGGAAAGTGTTGACATCTTCCCAAATTGATATATTGAACATGGTATAGGTTACTCTTCTTTAAAAAAAAATTTAAATGAAAGCAGAGACCTTTATTTATTAAGAATTTACTCAATTTTTTTTCCTTGAACTTTTCTAGTTTTCAGTGTATAGATTTTCTAAATCTTTTTGTCCGATTACCCCTGAGTATTTAATATAGAGTTTCTCCCTAGTCCTTTATTATATATTTTTTAATAAAACAGTTTCAACATGGACAATTTAGTAATACTGATTACATTCTTCAACTTGTGCAACCATCCTCGACCTCCTTTTCTGATTTGTGCCTTTTTCGTTAACATAGACTTTATTGCCTCCTAAGCTTCCTGTCTAATTTTTGAGTTGCTGTTGTCAATTTGATCCCTTGTTGTTGTTGTTGTTAAGTGCCTTTGAATCAGCTCTGATGTGTAGTGACCCAGTATAGGGTTTCCAAGGAGCAGCTAGTGAGCTTGAACCGCCAACTTTGCGGTTCAATCCAAGTTTGCAGTCCAGCGCATTAGCCCACAGTGCCACACCGGGACTCCCTTATTAGTAGGTCTTAAAAGGACATAATTCTCAAGGCATATCCTTTTGACTAGTGAAGCCAAATTGTTTGATTTCAAGATGACTTCAGGGGATTCTTTTTTGGTTTAAAGTTAAAAGATTATCTCAGAGCAGTACTCAGGGGCTCATCTACCGTCCATATCTCCAGAAAGTCTGAATCCATGAGAATTTGAAATTCTGCTTTTGGGCCCCAGTATTACAATCAATCTGTTTGTGTTTGAATTAAATGAGGTTCACTTATAGCAAATTTAAAATAGAACTTTTAGTCTTCTCTTTTTTGAAAAAATTGTATTCCACCACATTTCTTTGTCTTTTTAAATTTGTAATTTATTTGCTGAAGAGTTCAGGTCTCTTCCTTGTGATTTCCTATAGCCTGAATTTTGCCGATTATATCATTGAAATGCTATTTAATATTTTTTTCTGTTCCCTGTGCTTCTTGTACATTGGTAGTTGTGCCAAGAATTAGTAAACTTTGTGGTTCAAACCAACCAGCTGTTCCTTGGAAACCCTATACAGGGTTTTTGTGAGTTGGAACTGACTCAAAGGCACTTAACAACAAACACAGCTTCCTGGGTGGTGGTATATACTTTTAACAGGAGGTACATAACAGTTCCTTGACATAAAATCGTTGTTGTTTTTTAACTGATGGTAATAGCTGTGGGTATTCAGTGCTGAGACCCACTTGTTTATTTTTGTTGTTAAGTGTGGTCGAGTGAGCTCTGCTCATAGCAATCCTGTGTAAGGTTTCCGAGCAGTGGCTGGTGAGTTTGAATGGCAGATCTTGCAGTTCAAATCGACCTTATGGTTGAGTGCTTATCCCAGAATGCCACACTTGTTTAGTAGGCATTGCAAAATGGTGATAGTCTATGTTTTTCAATCATTCCTCATTTATTAGTTATAATTCTTTTTTTTTTTTTTTTTTTTTTTTAAGGTTTTTATTGTGGATTGAGTGAAAGTTTTCAGGGCACATCATCGGTTTCACATTCAAACATTCATATACCTTGTTTCATTGCATTGATTATAATCCCCTCCACATACCATCAGTTAACAGAGTTTCTCTCTGTCCTCTTTAGCTTTTTTTTGGGGGGGGGGGGAGCAAAACTTTGCCTTCTTGGAATTTACAGTCTCCGCTTTTAGGGAAGGTTTTTACATTTATCTGTGGGTATCCAGGGCTCATGTATGGAATTACTAACCAGCATAACTGAATAATCAGATAAGGGACATTTTGCTATGTCTGCTAGGTGGTAGTTGGAATATTTTTATACAGAGAACTTTCATTTGTTTGTTTACTCTGTTTTGGTTTTAGTGTCAGTACTAATGCGTACTATTAAGTGTATTTTGTGTGTTTCACATCATCGCAGTTATTATCTTTCTTGATATTCAAATATTTTTATCTCTAGCCAACTGACTCTCTTTAAGTTGACCCTGAAGTATTTTTTTAACAACAAAAATGATAGCTTCTGTTCTTTGGTACTAACCACAAGGTCAGTGGTTCAAACCCACCAGATTTTCCTTGGAAGCCCTGTACTAGGGTCGTTATGAATCATAACTGATCTGGTGACATTTAACAACAACAACAACAGAAAAGAAATCAAGATAGCATATCATGAGTCATACTTGGGCTTGACTCTTGATTGGTGGTGGTGGTGTGCCATGAAGTCAGTTCCGACTCACAGCGACCCTGCATAGGGTTTCTGAGGCTATAAACCTTTACAGGGGCAGAGAGTCTCATCTTTCTCCCGTGGAGTGACTAGTAGTTTTGAACTACTGACCTTGAGGTTAACAGTTTAGTCGTAACCACTATGCTACTAGCACTCCTTTGACTTATGACTAATGACATAAAAAAGAAGATAAAAAAGCTCTTGTCATTCAGCTTTGTATTTCACATGTTCAATGGTAATCTGCCTGTGTTTGTATAAGATGATTTTTCTCTTTTCTTTGTAGGTTTTGCAAATCAGTCAGACGATGACCAGGTTAATACAATGGGTTTTCACTTCTTTGGAGGCACCCGAGTTACTCTTCTGGCTTCCAAAACCTCTCGTAAGTAAAACCATGTTATTATTACCTTTGGAATTTTCTACTGCATCATTAACATGGCAGAGCATCATCACATCAGAAATATATGGAAAAGGTTTCAACAGCAGTTAGATGTTGAAAACAAAGAAAGAGCCATGGTGTTAAGTAGATGGGCTTAAAAGTTATGAAGATTGGATCCTGTTTTGTTAGCGAGATGTACCTTTGCTCTGAAAATAACTAGCATTTGAGAGACGGACTTAAAGAATTTAAAAAATATGTGTAATCATTCTTGATAAAAAATGTTCAGGAAAATAGAAATAGAAGGGAAGTTCTTCAAAATAATTAAGAGCACATACGCAAAACTAATGGTCACAACTTTTTCCAATGGAGAAAGACTGAAAACAATCCCCTTGCAAATGAGAACCAGACAAGGATACCTTTTGTCACCACTCCTATTCAACATTGTTGGACTTCTAGTGTAGCACTATAGGGTCAGCACAGAATATGAACCACAAGGTTTGGTAGTTAAGATTCACCAGCTGTTCCTCAGATACCCATATGGGATCACTATGAGTCAGAACCAACTAGATGGCACTTAACAACAACATTCAATATTGTTTTAGAAGTCCTAGCCAGATCAAGAAGGTAAGAAAGGGAAATAGAAGGCATCCAAATTGGCAAAGAAGTAAAACCATCTCTATTTGCAGATGATATGCTCCTACACATATAAATTCCAGAAACACAACAAGAAAACTACCAAAACTAATAGAAGGCTTCAGCAAAGTGGAAGGGTACAAGATCTACGTACAAAGATCAGTCACGTTCCTTACTCTAACAAAGAAATCTCAGAAGAAGAAATCAGGAAAACAATTCCATTTGTAATACCTTCCAAAGATAAATACTCAGGAATAAATCTAACCCAAGATAAAAAAAAAACACCTCTACAAAGAAAACTATAAAACATTACTACAAGGAAACAAAACAAAGGAGAGCCACATAAATGAAACAATATAACATGCTGATGGATAAGAAGACTTAACATCATAAAAATGTCCAATACTTCCCAAAGTGCTCCAGATGCAATCCTGAATCAGATTCTATCATCATCCTTTAAAGAGATGGAAAAATTTATCATCAACTTTATAGTGAAAGGAAAGAGACCCTTAGATAAAGTATTACTAAAGAAGAACAAAGTAGAAGCCTTATATTGATCTCAAAACCTATCCTAAGGCCATAATAGTCTAAACAGCCTGGTACTGATGCAGTGACAGACACATAGACCAGTGGAACAGAATTGAGAATCCAGACGTAAATCCATCCACCTATGTTCAGCTGATCTGAGACAAAGGGGCCCAAGCCCAATATATGTGGAAGAGATAGTCTCTATATGAGGATAGTAGTTTAGGTGCTGCAAAATTGGATATCCATTTGCAGAAAAATAAAACAAGATATGTCGCTATAAACCAAAATGAGCTCAAGATTCATCAAAGATCTAAATGTAAAACCTAGAACTATAAAGATCATCAAAGAGAAAATAGGGACAAACTTAGGGACCCTAATACATGGCATAAATATACAAATATACGTAAAAATGCATAAAAACAGAAGACCAATTAGATAACTGGGCCTTCTAAAACTTAAATATGTATGTAAATCAAAAGACTTTGCCAAAAGAGTAAAAAGGGAATTCATAGACTTTTTGACAATGACATATTGGGTGGACAGGAGACTAATCTCTAAAATTTATAGAAAACTTAACATTTAAAAAGACAAATAATCAATTAAAAAATAGGCAGAGGACATAGACAGACACTTTACCAGAGGATACATTCAGATAGCCAACAAACATATGAACAAATGTTCACGATCATTAGCTGTTGTTGTTGTGAAGTGCCGTCGAGTCGGTTCCGACCCATAGTGACCCTGTATAGGCTTTCTTTTAGAGAAATGTAAATCAAAACACAATGACATATTATCTCACCTAAGCATTGATCACAATATTCATAAGAGCAGAATACAACAAATGCTGGTGAGCGTATAGAGAGACTGGAACTTGTATATACTGTTGATGGGAATGTACAGTGGTACAAAGTTTGAAATAGAAATAGCATATGACTCATCAATCCCACTCTATGAATATATCCTACAGAAATAGGAGCCATGACATAGACAGATATAGACACAGCTATATTCACAATAGCAAAGAGATGGAAACAACCCAAGTGTTTATCAACAGTGACTGGATAAACAAGCGTAACAAAGTATTATACAACACTAGAGAATGATGATGAATCTTTGAAATACGTCATAACATGGATAAACCTGTAGGACGTTATGCTAAGTGAAATTAATCAATCACAAAGGACAAGTATTGTATGAAACCACTGCTATAAAAAGTCAAGAAAAGAAATTTTGTGTGTTACTAGGGTTGGGAGGAAAAAAGGGTATATCACTTACTAGTGGGCAGACAATATCATTAATTTTCCATAATATTATTATTACATGTAAGTAAAAATGTTCTGAAGAGAATTAATGAACAGATGCAGCAATACATAGGCAGTGAGCTACCAGAAATTCAAGCTGGATTCAAGAGAGGATGTGAAATGAGGAATATGATTGCTGGTGTCAAGTGGATCTTGGCTGAAAGTGGAGAATATTAGATGTTTACTTTTATTTACTATGCAAAGGCATTCGACTGTGTGGATCATAACAAGCTATAGATAACATTTCAAAGAATGGGTATTTTAGAGCACTTAATTGGGCTCATGAGGAACCTGTACATAGACCAAAATACAGTTGTTAGAACAGAACAAGAGGATACTGAGTGATTTTAAATCAGGAAAGATGTGCACTAGGGTTGTATTCTTTCATCATACTTTTTCAGTCTGTGTGCTGAGCATATATTTCAAGAAACTGGATTATATGAAGAAGGACATGGTATCAGGCTTGGTGGAAGACTCATTAACAATCTGCAATATGCAGATGATGCAACCTTGCTTGCTGGAAATGAAGAGGACTTGAAATACTTACTGATGGAAGACCAAACACTACAGCTTCAGTATGGATGCAACTCAATGTAAAATAAACTACTATCCTCACAATTTGACCAATAAATAGCATTGTGATAAACAGAAAAGATGGGAATTGTAAAAGACTTCATTTTGCTTGTATCCACAATCTGTGCTCCTGGTAGCAGTCAAGAATTAAACAATGTATCACATTGAGCAAATGTGCTGCAAAAAACCTCTTACCAAGTGTTAAAGAGATAAGCTGTCAGTTTGAGAACTAAGGTGAGCTTCACCTAAGTCATAGTATTTGTAATTGCCTCATATGCATGTGAATGTTGGACAGTGAGTAAGAGAGCAAAATAATCCATGCATTTGAATTATGGTGTTGGTGAAGAATAATGAAAGTATTGTGGGTTGCCAGAAGAATAAACCAATCTGTCTTGGAAGCAGTATAGCCAGAATTCTCCCTAGAATCTGGGATTGTATCTTGTATTTTGGAAATGTTGTTACAAGGGTTGTTAGGAAAGGACATCATGCTTGGAAAAGTGTAGCATCAGTGTAATAGAGGAAGACCTCTAACAAAATGGATTGACGTAGTGGACGTAACAAAATTTTGAAGATGGTGCATAGGGTCAGTATAAGTGGGAACCAACTTAACGACACCTAGCAACAAGTGGGCAGATATGTATTAACTTGAGTAAATGGAAAGGCATTATACAATATGGGGGAGATCAGTATGAGTGTCAAGGTAAAGGAAAACACTGAAAGAACATGCAAATTAAAGACAATGACAGTGAATGATAGTGCATATATATGTAATATCATATATACAGATATCCTCTGTCAAGCCTATATATATGTTCATGGTGTCATTTCATTTGCCGTCCTCCATCTGTTCAGCTTGCATGTCTAGCTATGTATTCCCTTGTAGATTATTATTATAACTATAACTGCAGGATAGGGCATGCTGTATCATTTGCCATCGTTGTCTGTAATTTGCATGTTCTTCCCAGTGTCTTCCTTTATTTGTACATATATATTAATATATGGAATCTGGTGTGGCACTGTGGGCTAATGCATCAGACTGCAAAGTCATTTGAACTGCAATGTTGGTGGTTCAGGCTCACCAGTGGCTCCTTGGAAACCCTATATAAGGTCGCTCGCTACAGGTCGGAATTGACTCAATGGCACTTAACAACAAAATTCATATATACTGTTGAATACACTAGGAGTATCGTAAAGGATAGAGGGGCAAAGGTGTTTGGATGCTAGGTATTTCCTGGGGCTGGACTCAGTTCCAGATTTCAAGGGTCTCAGCTCTAGTTTCTATCAGAGCAGTAAGTCTGGTCTTCTTTATGATTTTCTTTAGATTTTATTTTTGAAGGATATTGAGGAATGAGTTGGAGATTATTAGGTGAAAGCATTCCAGGGAGAGTGAAAGGTATCTGCAGATTATGACAAAGCACAGAATGTTTTTATGATTCAGTGTCTTGTGTGCTTGGAGGTCCTTAAAGTGTGTGTATGTGTGTGTGTGGTTCTGCGATAGTTCTTCAGTGAAGCCAAGAAATTTAGGACAGGTGTAATGATCAGATCTCAAGTCATCTGATGTCTACCCCATGACCTTGTAAGTGGTCTAATGTGCACCCTGGTTCATTGATATAAATTTACTTTCAGAATTTTATAGCAATATTAGCAAGACACAATGAGCATATTATATAAATCCAAACTGTAAAAAAAAAAAACAAACAACTTTTGAAAAATAAATTAGGGAGAATGTTCATAGTTTCTATTAAACTGAACAGAATGTGTACTTAGAATATTATGAAAACCTCTATTGAAGTTGCTTACATGATTTATTTCAACTTTTTGCTTTAAAAAAATATTTCATCTGCTTTTTCATTTCACATTTTAAAATCTCAATGTATATTATATCAGTGTTTTTTTTCCCTCTAATATGAATATGGTATTATTTATATTCATGAGCCTGAAATGTTCTGGGGACTAGAGACTGATATGACGTTATTTGGTGTCCTGGTTAGTTAAATCTATTCTTTTTTGGTGTAGTACTGGGAAATGCCAATGGGTCGGGCTTTGGTTATCTGGACTTATTTCATTTGGAAGCCAAAATGGTTAAATCCACTGAACTGCTATTACAAGATCCAAAGGAAGAGAGATGAAAAGGAATAGATTGAATGTTCATTTTGACAACTGTTTTGATTACTAATATTTTAGGGTATATTTAAAAATACAAGTTTATTTTTGTATTTGTTGTTGTTGCTAAGTGCCGTCGAGTCACTTCTGACCCCTAGCGACCGTGTATAGGGTTTCCAAGGAGCAGCTGGTGAGCTTGAACTTGCAGTTCAAATGGCTTTGCAGTCTGGCACATTAACCCACAGCGCCACAGCAGGACTCTGAATTTGTCATTTCACCTTTCCATGAAATGTATTCTCTGAAACATCTGGTCAATGTTAAGCATCCTAGAGTATTAATCCTAGAAAATGGTTAGTAATCAGAATAATGCCTTCTAAATCTTTGAGTCATTGATGCTACTTTCTTTTTACCATCAATAAGAAATATATGTATTTTTAAAACATCCAAATTCTGGCATTGTCCAGAAAAAATTAACAGGGTTATTTGTAATTGTTATAAAGTTGAACTGCTAAAACTTGTTCTCTGAAACATTTTGACTTGCATTAATGCTTTATGTCCCTGCATTTATATTAAAAATTCACACAAATTAAAATGGAAGAACTGTCAGAACAGTTTTTTTCTGATTTCTGCCCTGTTTCCATTCGCAGTCATATACTTAGGCATTTTTTGACCCCATGGGGGGTAAACTCCCCCCCCCCCCAAAAAAAAACCTAACATTCAGAACTACCAATAACAAGAAGAAGAGAAATTATTATTTTTTAAAGAATGAAATGTTTCCCGTTATAGTGGATTCTTAAGCACGTTCTCCACGTGTATGACATGATAGCTGGATGTCTGTTGGCAGAATTGTTACACATTTGCCATGGATAGCACACAGGGTAGTGTCTTCAAAAAGACCAACCAGATAGGCCCCACTTGCCTCCTGCAAAGCACCAACAGCTGCACTCTGGAGGTGCAAATCTGTTTTGAAGTCTTGAATTATTTCTCACACCAGACGTTGGAAAGGAAGTTTATGAATCAGAAGTTTGGTGGACTTCTGACAACATCTAATTTCACAAAGTACAGCAGTACTGTAACAGTACTGTACTGTAACAATGGGTTTCTTCACCCCTCCAGTAGAGGGCGCACTTTTACCAGTGCATTCTTTTGTAGCCAGTTGCTTCCTGGGTGCCTTCCCACCGGTTGATTTGTGGGCAGTTAGCTTTGTAGGAGCCACAGTATAGAGGTCTCCTCACTTACTCCCTTCTACTTCCTTTGGAGCTCAGAGCTGGAGGCAGTGCTGGTGTTAGAGAGAAGACAGCTCCAGTCATTGATTCTTATTGAGCTTTGGGCATATAAAAAACAAATCAATTTAAAAATACTGCATTTATCTTTCTAAATCCCAAGCCTAAGTACAATTTTTTTTCATTGCAGAAAAATCTAGTTTACTTTTTTCCCTGCATGAGTTGATGAAAACAAGAAAAAAATGAGAAACTAAACCCATTCAGTGTTCCATGGGAAGAGATGTAGCAGTCTGTTTCTGTAAAGTTTGTTATTATTGTGTGCCATCAAGTCGGTTCCGACTCACAGAAACCCTGCATAAAGTTTCCTAGAATGGCTGGTGGGTTTGCACTACCGGCCTTGCAGTTAGCAACCCAGCGCTTGTCTTACCTCGGAAATCCTATGGGGCAGTTCTACTTTGTTGTATGAGGTCAGTATAGACACAATGGCTAAGGGTTAAACTTTTAAAATGACAGGAAATATCACTTGTGTTTCAGTCAGAGCTTCACACCAGTTCATTCTGATTCAACCCCTTGAGGAGAATTTGCATTTCCCAGATGTGTGAATCAGAATGTACATTTTAACAAGAGCCCTGAAGATTCACATGTATATGAAAGAATTGCCAGGTGGTTCTTATATATGTTGTTGTTTAGTGCCATTGAGTTGGCTGCAACCCATAGTGACCCTGTATAGGGTTTCCGAAGAGCAGCTGATGAGCTTGAACCGCCGATCTTGGAGTTCAAACTGACTTTGCAATCTAGTGCATTAACCAACGGCGCCACACCTTATATATTTGTTGTGAAGATCCATTGAGTCCGTTCTGACCCATAGTGACCCTGTTTAGGGTTTCCAAGGAGCAGCTGGTGAGCTTTAACCGCCCACCTTGCAGTTCAAACGGCTTTGCAATCCGATGCATTAACCAACAGCGCCACACCAGGACTCCTGGTTATTTAAATGTAGAACTTTATTAGAGTGTAGATCTTGATTAGTGTATTTGGGATGGAAATGCAAATTCTCCTCAGTGGGTCAAACTGGAATGAACTGGTTAGAAACTCTGCTTATTATTGATGTTACACTTCTATTATTTGGTAACATTAACATGTATTTGATCACAGTAGAGTACCTACTGTTGTTGTTGTTGTTAGGTGCCATGGAATTGGTACCGACTCATAGTGACCCTATGCACGATAGAACGAAACACTGCCTGTCCTGCGCCATCCTTACCACTGTTTTGCTTGAGCCCACTGCTGCTGCCACTGTGCCAATCCATCTCGTTGGTGGTCTTTCTCTGTTTGGCTGACTTTCCACTTTGCCAAGCATGATGTCTCCAGGAACTGGTCCCTCCTGGTACTGTGTCCAAAGTATGATGAAGTCTCACCATCCTGGCTTCTGAGAAGCATTTCTGGCTGTACTTCTTCCAACGCAGATTTGTTGCTTCCTCTGGAAGTCCATGGTACTTTAAGAACTAAAATGCATCAAATGAGAGATGTTGCTGTTACTGCCATCATCACTGTCATTGTTATCATTACAGTCATCGGTAGGCTAGGGGATGGGCAGGAATTTGCCTTTCCTGGAGCTGAGGTTTCAGATTTAGGGTTACATGGAAACAAGATTTATATTTCAAGAAGGGTCTGACTACAAGTCATTCTTCAAGTAAAAGAACTGCTAGAGAATTTTGATCAAGACTAAAGCAGTAGTTATGAGGATTTAAGCTGGCTGTAATGCCTAGGGTGTGGGATGTCTATAGAATCAAGTTTCTTTCACATCAATATTCTGAAATAAACGGATACCAGATTGTACTTTGCATAGGCTGTTTTCTTTCCTTTATAAATAAACTTTTTTTTTTTTAAAGAACTGAAAATTGGATATTTTTATTATACCGAAACCAGTTAAAAGATACACAGTAAAAAAAAAAAAAAGCATGCCACTGTGACCACATTCCTTTGAAATTCCATTTAAAATGTTAAGTGGTTGATACATTCAAAAGCAATAAAGTAGTAGAAGTATTTTTTTTAAGCCAGTAGAAATTGTATCTGTATTAAACACCAAAGAAAATTTCATACCTTTTGTTCTTTTACTTTTCGGAATCATGTTAGGGTAAATGATAGTTCGTGAAGTTTCAGCTAGTAATTATGTATCCACAAGCATATATTTTTAATTATTTTTTTTCTTTTTCAGAACGATACCGCATTCAGAGTGAACAATTTGAAGATCTTTGGCTCATAACAAATGAACTCATTCTCCGCCTTCAAGAATATTTTGAAAAACAGGGAATCAAAGACTTTGCCTGCTCTTTTTCTGGATCTATGCCCCTTCAAGAATATTTTGAATTAATTGATCATCATTTTGAGGTAGGTATAATCATAACCTATATCATCCAATACTTTTTCATATATGAAAGAGGAGGAGTCCTGGTGTGGCGCTGTACAAAGCCGTTTCAACTGCAAGGTCAGCGGTTCAAGCTCACCAGCTGCTCCTCTTTACAGAAACTCTATACAGGTCGCTCTGGATTGGAACCAACTTGACAGCTCTTAACAACAACAACATATGAAAGAGGAGCTGCATAGGCCCACCGGAAGTCTAGTATAATACTGTCACGTGCCCACTTTTTGAGTTGCTATGCTTATGTGGATGGTGGATTTTGTACATCCAATCTTGCTCTCTTGCCCACTTTTTGATCTGTTACAGACATTTACAAAGGGACTGCCTGGAGCTAAGCTTGTGGTATGGCCTTGTAACAGCAGATTTAATTCTCCCACATGGGGACTTAACCCTTGACCCCAATAACCCAGTGTTAAAACTATTTGAGCTTATCGGCAGCCATTTGGCTAACTAATTCTTGCAGGCTATAAATGAGGTGTGATTAGAAAGCAAAGTGATTTTTCTTTTACTTTTTATTTTAACAAGCATACCAGAACTTCCACATCTGAATGAAAGTTTATTGCCTTAAAAATAGTCCCCACTACCTGGCACAATGGGTAAATGAGAACTGAGAATGACTTTGCTGCTTTGAATATTTCCACATTTCCTCTTTGGAAGTGCCTTCAGAGGCTGGGTGAGATTCTCTTGAGTTTGTCTGTCCTGTCATTTCTTCGTCCTTCCAGGACTGATTGGGCTTTTGGAAAAAGCCAAGAATCAAACTTTGTGAGCACATTAGACAATGACAGTCATCGTTTAAAAAGTCCTAAATGTGTTAAAGTCACCAGGCTCTCTTCCTCATTTGCCTTATAAACAGACTCCATGTTGTTTTTGTTGTTGGGTGTTGTTGCTGAGTGCTATGACTTCTTCTCATAGCTGCCCTGTATTGGGTTTCCAAGGAGCTACTGCTGGATTTGAACTGCTGACCCTGCTGTTAACAACAGTCCAGTCCTTATCTTGCAGCTCCACACCAGGACTCCATGACAGATCCTATAGGCCATTACAAAAGGGGGTTTCCAAATAATTTGGAACATCATTCAAGATAGCATTGATATTCTAGAGTGACTACTTTTTACGGAGTCAAAAGGCATTTCAATTTCAGTTCATAAACTATGATTACGCATGTTTATGTGTAAGCTTCTGGGTCAGAGAGAATATCAACCTTGGACATTCTAAGAGCATTGACTTTCACCTCTTAAGGCTTATTTAAAAAAATATTTTTTAGTGCAGTGTCAATATAAATGGAATTATTTCAGGTGATACAATCTAATTAAGAATAGTGCTGTCAGTATCAGGTACATTGAAGTTATTTGTTTTTTTCCTTAACTATAACCACCACCACCACCACCACCACCTATGAGTCCTGGTGTGGTATAATTGGTTAAGCTCTGGACTGAAAGGTTGGTTTGAACTGCCAGGTCGGCAGTTCAAGCTCACCAGTTGCTGCTTGGAAACCCCATAAGGGTCACTGAGTCAGAACGGACTCAACGGCAATTAACAAAAACATACTGAAAATATTGTCTAGGACACTATGTCTCTCACCTAATTGTGGTACCAAAATCGACACTCTGGGCGAATATGTTTCAATATTTTAAGAACTTAGAAACTTTCTGTCTTCTGGAATATATTTTAGGAAATTCCTCCTTCATTGTGTTCCATTAGCTTATAAAAGAGAGGCGACAGAAAGACCACGGTAATCACATATTTGTGTTATTTTAAATGGAGACTATTGAATTCAAATGGACTTTAGCATACAATTTTCTCTCTGAATTATTTTTATTAAATTTTTTAGTACCCGTTACTTGATAACCAGTAACTTCTTGGAGTTTCCATATTAGGAGGGAGTTAGGGAATATGGTGAACTGCCAAACCAAACCCAACCCATTCTATGGGGTCAGTTCTGACTCAGTGACCCTATGTAGGGTTGCCAAGATTGTAAATCTTTGCAAGAACATGTAGCTCATCTTTCTACTGCACAACAGCTGGTGGGTTTGAACTGTTAACTTGGCAGTTAGCAGTCCAACACCTAACCCACAACTCCACCAGGCCTCCTTATGGTGAGCTGCAGGCCTTTGCATTTGTTATACACACAGATTTAAGGAGGACAGATGCACCTTCTGCTTTCACCACTTAAATATGACTTTAAACTTTGAGTCAAGATGGATTTTGGAATCAAAGTGTCCTTCAGGATAAGCTCCATGAAGGCAGGGATTTCAAATTTTTTTTTAATTTAAAAATTTTATTGCGAATTGGGTGAAGGTTTATAGAGTAAATCAGTTTTCCACTCAACAATTCAGACACACTTTGCTTCATGCTATTGATTGTAGTCCCCACAGTGTAACCTCACTTGTATCACATCCTCCCTGTGCTTCTTGGGCCCATTCCTCCTTCTTCCCTAACTCTTCCCAACTTTGGAAGGCAGGAATTTTTGTGTATTTTATTTATTGCTGTAATTCCTGGTGTGGCGCTGTAGGATAAGAATGGGACTGCTAACCACCACCGCTCCTTGAAAACTCTACACAGGCTCTCTGTGAGTTGGAACTGACTTGATGGCACTTAACAACAACAACAACAGCAACCACTTATTGACAGGGAGTCCTGGTAACATGTGGATTACAAGCTGATGCTGCTGACTGCAAGGTCAGCAGTTTGAATCTGCCAGCCGCTCCTCGGGAGAAAGATGAGGCTTTCTGCTCTGGTAAAGATTTTCAACTTCAGAAACCCTATACAGGATTGCTGTGACTTGGAGTCATCTCTATGGCACACAACCACCTCTAACCACTTAGTTAAAGGCATTTTGTTTGCTAATAGTATTTTATCATAATAATGGAACAAACAGTTCCATAATTATTAGCCTTACTTTCCCCCACCAAAAAAAATTCTCTTTAGGATAACTTCTTACATGTAGCATTGTTAGGCCTAAGAGCTGTTTGTATTGCTTTTTCTGTAGATATTGCCCCTTTTTCAATTGGCTTGTTGATGTTTTTATTGCTGATTAATATTGGTTGTGATCTTTTTTTTTTTTAAGCTTTTATTGTGAATTGATTGATAGTTTACATGGGAGAACATTAGTTTTGCACTCATCCTATTGTATTTTGTTTCATTGCAATGATTATAATCTCCTCCATGCATCATCATTCAATAGTATTTGCTTCTATTCCCTCTGTCTTTTTTGAATACGCACAAAAACACTCAGAAATATATAGACATAGTCTTTTAAAAAAATCTAGGTATAAAAGTAAATATTAATTCAGAGAAAATAAATCATAATTTAAAATAAATCATTAAAAAATCCTGGCATCTCCAAAAAATCATGCATTGAGGAAAATTACAGATTTTTTTATTTTTTTTATTTTTTTTTTATAATTAACTTCCTGACATGTTTTTGTAATTCTTTTTGACATGAACATAGCCTTTTGCCTTTTATGCATTTTGGCTTGTGTATTTTTCGAGAATTGCTTTTATCTCTCATTTTTTCTTATACTTTTTTTTTTTGCCATGTAAAATTGAACATTGTTTTTAGTTAGCAGTTTACTAGCTTTGTATGTGTGTGTGTGGTGGGGGCACTTTTGGTTTCATAATTATGAAGACCTTTCCCAGAGCGAGAGATTATAAAGAAAATTCTGTTTTTTTGTAGTACTTTTTGTTGTACTTAAACTTTTGATCCCTCTTCAGTTGATTTTTTGCTGTGAAGTATAGAGAAGAAATTCATCCCCCCGCCTCCAGATAATCAGTTATCATAAAAAAAAGTTCCAATACCACACTGTTTTTATTATAAAACATTTCATTTAACTCAAATAATATGTTGCAATCATTACTCTTAAAAAAGCTTTTACTGTTATTGTCTATATCTTTAGACATATTTCATGTACACATTTAATCTGATTTTAAGAATATCTTCTCTGTAGCTGCGGATACATGGTGAAAAATTAGAAGAACTCTTGTCTGAAAGAGCGGTACAGTTTCGGGCCATTCAAAGACGTCTTTTAACAAGGTTCAAAGATAAAACACCGGCCCCACTCCAACACTTGGACACCTTGCTAGATGGAACTTACAAGCAGGTCAGCATTACTTCAATGATCTTTTCCTATTACTGAAACATAACTTTTTTTCTCACCTTAGAGTCACCAGAATGTCAAGACAGGGTGTTTCCTTCCCGTGCAGTATTGCTTTAGACTCAGAAAAATCTAGGTTCAAAGTCAAACCCTGTTATTTTCCAAATACGTACTGATGAGTAAACTACATGATGGAGAGCCATCGTTTTCTGCATTACTTTCCAGATTTGTCAAGATTTCTGATCCTGTGCGTAAAGCAGCTAACACTTCATGCTGGGAGCTTAGTAAGTCCTGGATAAATCATAACTGTTATGATTAATATTATCACTAAACATTCTTGGTGCATCCCACTATTGTCACTAGAATCCTTTGATCTCAATTGAAAAATTGGCTTAGATTTTTAATATTAAATTAGATCCAGTGATATTTTGAGGTGGAATTCTTAGGGAGCTCTTTGTCCTAATACAAAAACGTTTCCTTCTTGTTTTTCTTGACTTTCTTTTCACTTCTGTCTTATGATTTACATGGTTAGGGTGGTCTTGACTGATCTGATTCTCACTTTACAGATTGTGTCTCCAAAGCTGTTCAAAATAATAATCTTTGGTTTACAATTCTAATGAAAAAAAATTTAATTTCATGGTTAAGGTCTCACTAGAATGAAATCTGTTTGAGTAACTGTATTGCATGCTACCTTTGTAGGCACATCCTTCTATATAAGCTATTGATTCCAAATTAGTGCTAGTGGTATGAATGTTTTGTATAACTAATAACTAATGGAATGAGTTATTGAGATAACCTTGGGGTTATTGTCACCATGCATCCGGAAGAGTCTATATTGTCACTATTTAAGGAACTAATGGTAATTAACATACATAAGCATAGACCAGAATCCAGTATCCTCTTAAAACAAGATGTAAATGCTATAACGACAGGGACTTTCTTTTTTGCCTCTGTATTCTCAGTTCTTAATATATTTCTTGAGATGAACAAACAAACAAACAAAAAAAACAACCCGCTAAAACCCACTGCCATTGAATCGATTCTGACTCATAGTGACCCTCTATAGGGTTTCTTAGGCTGTATATCTTTACTGGAACAGAAAGGCTCATCATTCGTCAGAGTGGCTGGTGGGTTTGAACTGATGGCCTTATAGTTATTAGCCCAGTGTTTATCCTACAGCGCCACCAGGTTTCCCTTTTTGGTACATGATGTGGTTGTTCAGTGCTGTCAAGTTGGTTCTGACTCATAGCGATCCTGTATAGAGTTTCCAAGATGCTGTTGGGTTTGAACCACTGAATTGCATTTAACAGTCCAGTGCTTATCCTACAGCACCACACCAGAACTCCATCCACTGCTGAAGACAAACCAATAATTCCAGTTTCGTGGCACATTTGTTATTGTTAAGTGCTGTAGAGTCAGTTCACACTCATAGTGACTCTGAGAGTGTTTCCGTGGAGCAGCTAGTGGGTTTGAACTGCTGCCCTTGCGGTCCAGTGCACACCAGGACATAGTAGGTGTTTAATACTATTTGGTCAATGAGTGAATACTCTGTTTACAATAGCAATGACAATTTCTTGAAACTGTGCCTTTGATAAGGGTGAAACAACCGCCAACAAAGCAGCAGAGAATTCTTTAAATCTAGACTCATGAATCATTGTCTGGTTTATTCTAAAATACTCAAAAGTTGCTGCAAAATAGACACTCTCTTCTCTTTTCCTAAATAACATAGTTGGAGGGCTCAGGAAAACTGTTATAGCCAGGAATGTTTTATAGCTGAAAAATTCCTGACAGAGAAATCTTTTCCATTATCTTGTGTGTGTGTGTGTGTGTGTTTATGCTGCAATTAAAAACAGATCAACCATATCTTGAAATACCTATATACATTTGGCAATTCTTGAGGTCGGATCTGTTGTAGTCTTTGTGTTGTTAAGTGCTGTGGAGTCGAGTCTGACTCATAGTGACCCTGTGTAATCATAGTCTTAGTGCCATGTTAATTTTTGTTTGTTTCAGTATTAGCACATTCCCACAAGCATGAAGACTTTTGATGCTCTTCCTTTTGGAAGGCAACATTTCTTTCATTAACATACCCTTTTACCAGCTAGGGTAGGGTATAGGAATAACAGGACTGGAGGGAGTTTGGGGGTCTCGTGGGTGCTAGATGTTCGAGGACTGTCTCGCATTCCAATGAAGTCCTCTGAGAAAGTGAAAGGGAAACCCAAGGCTCTTAGTATAGGAATGATTAAGCACTACTTGCTGCTGTTGTGCTGTTAAGTCGGTTCCAACCCATAGCGACTCTGTATAGCGTTTCCTAGGAATGGCTGGTGAGCTTGAACTGCCTACCTTACGGTTCAAGCTGACTTTGCAGTCCAGTGCATTAACCCACAGCACCACACTGGGACTCCACTAGTTGGCTGCAATGTGAGACAGTTTGTATGGTAACTTGTGTATGTAGTAGAACTAGCAGGTGATATGCTTCCAGGTTCTGAGGTGACATCTTGGCTCACTAGCTCCTTAGTCAGTAATGTAAGCTATGATTTTGTAGGCACCCAAAGGGCAATTTACAAGGGGCACAGCCATAAAGGATGGTGTGGGATCTATGCCATTGGTGTTAAGCAGTAACTCTACTAGTTACTTAGCCAGCTAATGAATGGGTCTCTGATTCCTGAATGACCTGTGATATCGGTGCCTTTGATTCTGACCCTGCAATTGGGTGTGTGGTGAGTGTATATGATAAGCACTGGACTTTGAACCATAAGGTCCACAGTTCAAGCCTGCTACTTGCTCCTTGGAAGAAAGATGAGGCTTTCTGGTCCTTGAAGATTTAAAGTCTCACAAACCCTATACAGGCTCACTATGAGTCGGAACTGACTCATTGGCACTTAACACCACCACCAATATAAATGTGCACATATACAAACACACACACATATTGGTGGTGTTTTTAAGTGCTGTCGTGTCTGTTCTGACTCATAGAGATCCTGAATAGGGTTTCCGAGGAATGGCTTGTGAGTTTAAACCACCAACTTTGCGCTTCACACTGACATTGCAGTGCAGTGCCACATACATAACCTTCCATAAATGTTGTACCAATCTAGTATCCCATCAGCAGTAGATCAGATTTATTTTTCTAAGCAGTATTACTTGTCTTGATTTTTTATAATTTGTAACTTAAAAGATCATTTTATTGCTCTTTTACTCCTCATTTCTTTGCTTGTCAGTGACGTTGAGCAATTTTTACCTGTTAATTGTTCATTTATTTTTCTTTCGTGATTTACAAATGTATATCCTGTTTAATATTCTTCCCAGTTATTCGTCTTTTTCTTATTATTTTGTGTATGTTAGGAATGGCAGTCTTTTATCATACTTTCAAATGTATGAAAATGCTTTGTGAATATTAGGAATGTAATCTCTCATCATATAGAAAAAACAAGTTTTACCAACCTGTCATTTGCCTTTTATTTTATTTATAGTAGTTTTCTGATATAAAAAGTTTTGTTAATATTTATATAGTAAAAGCTATCAATCGTTTTCCTTTGGGCTTACCCTGCCTAGAAAAGCCGGTACCTAAGCCAAGAATACATGAAAATCAACCTATAATTTATTTTAACATTTTTAATGCTATCGTTCTTTATGTGTACTTTAAAAAAGCACCTGGAATTTATTATTCACTTTGGTGAGACTCTAATCTTATGCCCAAAATGGTGAGCTATTTGCCCCGGCCTCTGCTTATTGCATAGTGTATTCTTCCCTACTGAACGAAAATGCCATCCTTGTCATTAAACACCTGTACTGTACAGCATACTAGCCCAAAGTGTGATGAATTAACACCACTGCCATTTATTATTGTCCCTGAGCCTCTGGACCAGCTGGGCAGTTGTGCTGACCTGGGCTGTACTTGGCTGATCTCTGTGGGACTCACTTGTATCTGTGGTCAACTGGCTCAGCTGAGGACTCGGTGGCCTAAGATGAACTCCCTCACGTTTCTGACAGGTGGCTCACAATTAGCTGAAGATGGCTGGGTTACATGCCCCTCATGGTCCCGCAGGCTAGCCTGCGCTTGTTCATATGGTAATAAGGAGTTCCTATCGTATTCCTGGTGTGGCGCTGTGGGCTAATGTGTCAGACTGCAAAGTCATTTGAACTGCACCAGCTGCTCCTTGGAAACTCTATACAGGGTCTCTATGGGTCAGAATCTACTCAATAGCACTTAACAACAACAACAGCAACATCATATTCCCTAACATCTCATTGACTTTGCTCAGTCCAGATCATAGGGATAGGGAAATGAACTCTGCCTCTGTATTCGAGTAGTAGAGAATTTTAGGTGTTTTTACGATATACCGTATTTCTTTTTAAAATTAAATTAACACTATATTTTCAATGAAACCACTTTTTAAACTGTTTTTTAAACTTCAGGTCCCTTGAACTTGGACTCTTCGTGTGGACTGCCAACCACAAGGTTGGTGGTTCAAGCCCACCATTTGCTATTGGATACCCTACGCAGGGTCGCTATGAGTCAGAACCGACTCTAGGGCACTTAACAACAACCCTTGAACTTAGGTTTTCTGCCCTGATGGAAGTCAAATCTACCTTTTTGCTGTCATTAAGATCTTATTTCACTCATTGTCACAAGCAGTTGTGGTCTATGGACTCTGAAGAGAATTTATCTTACAATTATGTTTCTAAAGAGCTGTTTACAAGCAAATAGCATTTGTGCTGTCTTCAGGCTAGTAAGACTGTCTCAGTACTTGCTCACATGTTAGTCATGGTCATTTGTTTTAGGGATGGAATCTGTTATTCAGTCTTCTTCTGGATCCCACCTTAATTCTGTCCAGGGCTGGCTTCGTGGGCATGTGACACATGCAATCGTACAGGCTTAATGCTCTGCCGGTTTGAATTTTTACTAACAATGGGCTCCACATTTTCATTTTGCACTGGTCTTGGCTCTACCAGGATGCCAACTAAATCCTTTCTCTCTATAAATGATTTGTATTTTATCCAGTAAA